GCTACAAAATCCAGGAAGATTGAGCAAACAGTTTGGCCGATTGTTATTTACTAGTTCCGTACATCTCGCTATTCAGTTGCGGCGAAAGATGGGTACCGCTACAACTGCCCATTCGTTTGGCACACATAAAATGTCTAAATTTCAACTAACTACTGCGACACGACGGTTTTTCAATCGCAAACATTGTTGGAATGTCATCCGCTCCATCCGTCCGTATTTTCAGTCATAGTTTCCAAGAAATGAAAAGACAACATTTTATAGACAAATATCCTTGAAAGGCTGTCTACCCTTAAGAAACCCAATGGAAACTATTGTTTTAGGGAGCGTCAAAAACCGATATATTGTATATATAGTATTTGACACCATTCCCGCTTAATGGGAGGCAAAATACAATTTTGGTGCTTCACAGCAACCGGCGCTGAAATATATTTTTGCTTTCTGCCTTACCAACACGGAAAGAGGAAATCTGCATGGTGAGGGGGAAATCTATCAACCGATCCCTGAATAGACATATTATTTTGACATCCCATCTGGCAATTCATTTGACATATCCTGACATGCCACTTCACGTTCTGTTTGGCAAAACGTCACATATGATGTGCCATGAGCTCTCAAATTCTGTTTGGCATCTATTCCGACATTCTATAACAAAATTTCACAACCTATCTTGCATTTTATCCGGCATCTCTTTTGCCTGTCAATCTGAATTTTGTATGACACATTGCGCTCGCACTTGAAGTGCTACAGTGCTCACTGAGATCGGGCTCTCGCAGTTGAAGTCCGGCAGTGCCCACTGAGCTCAGCTGTCTTTGGTTTCAAACGATCATGTGCCCATGATTGCTAAGTCCTGTTCTGGTGGACGGCCTCCTTCACCTGTCCATCTCACCCACTCATCAGAGCAACGTGCATCAACCGGGAATCGAACCCGGGGAGACCGGATCGGCTCAGCAAACCAACGCGTTAGCCGCTCGGCAGTGCCCACCGAGTGCACACTGAGATCTGGAGTTCACGGTGGACGAGGTCGAGGAGGCGGTGGAGGAGGCAGGCGGCATGCAGCTTTGATAAGATCATATAAAATCTAGAGACCTTCACCGGGTAGGTGGGGAATTGATGGCCTTGGAGATTGACGCATGTTGGCGCGACCATCCAATCCGAAGTCGCGCCCCGAAGGCTTCTGGACTTGGGAAGTGGGGCACCGTCTTGACATACAACTACCGCCTGATTTGTGGTTCCAACTCCCTCGTGTTGCTAGTTTTTGCGCAATGATGAAATTGTCCAACATGTTCCAACTAACATAGGCCCTGCCAGGTAAAGGGTGGAAGGTTATTTTCCCTTAAAAAATGCCGTTTCTCATTCATCCCTTGTTTTTTTTTCCGTTCACTGTCCCACTGGTGCCTCCAGAAGGGAATTGGCTGACCTGTCGTATTCGAAACAGTTTCTGCTCTGTTGCAAGAGAAACCAAATTTCTATCCTAGAAGAGAAATGTGATACTGAAACCAAAGATTAGAGTATATAACCCCAATTTTTTGGAACCACCGTATGTTTGTTCATTCTATCCTGTTGGGATTGGACATATTCAAGAACTATCTGGTTCGTGTCAATACGGGATAATACATTGCCTGCCCACCAACAAAAAAATGTGAGCTGGTTGGTATTAAGCTGGCATGTATCATTTCATATCTCCATTTGTTGCAAACATGATATATCAAAAGATAACCAATACAAACAATTGAACATGAAATAAGTGTCAAAATAACCATAAAATAACTCAACTAAGCCCAGGGGAACCAATCAACTCCGTTTCTTGGGGCCGAGACTTAAAACGGGTTTCAGAACAGGGATTCCTCCCTAGATCGAAGGGACTGCCACGCCTTGCCACTGCCAATTCATCGATCACTTGTAGCCTCGCCATGGAATTTTGATCTTTGACGTCCTCGACATGTCAAGTTCTGATCACTGTAGAGTTCAGGTTTGCCGAGATGTTTTCACTGTTTTCTTTGATAACAGCGATAAGATCTCGAGGATCCATGCCACGTGTACACGATTGTACAAGTCTCTGGCCTCCCGAGCCATGCCAACGTGCTTCCGCTTGCACCCTTGGCGTTGCAAGACCTCTGCTTTGCAGCACCAGGGGTGAAAATCGCTAGGCTTTTTCTGGCGAGAACCAGCCAGTCCCGCTCATAGTTTCTATAGCTTTGCACAAACAAATGCTGAAATCAATTAATATATATTGGAAAAAACATGAATATAACATATAAAATCATATAAAATCAATCCTCCATGTCACAACGATTTACCAATATGCTTCACCATTCTTGCGCCACGTGACGTTACGTTCATCACCGCTTTCCGCACCTCCTGCATGATGCGGGACCTCGGTTAACGGAAACGCCATCTGCGTATCTCCGGAGAGGGGTTTTCATTGCTGTCGTTCCTGCGTTGTGTTGTGACGTGTTGTGTGAGGTTGGAGCCGGGCCCGCAGTGATCCGCAGTGTATGGGTTTGAGGCCGGCCAATCGCATCGTGTCAGGTCCGATCACGAGTTCGAGATGGTGGCCCTGTGCCGATCTTTGGTACAGTGGAGGTACAAAATGTGCATTAAGCCAATCTTCTCATCATAAATCTCTATAGTGGGGTTATGAACCTATCTTCTCGCATCTAACGTTTTCGATGGCAGTTGCCCCTTGGCCGCGTCGAAGCGTGAACCGTCGTTATATGTCGTCATCGCGTCGCGTCGGCGCAGTTGTGACACCGGTGTTTGGAGCGAAGGCGAGTTTCAGTGTCTTGCTTTGCCCAGGTATGCTTACCGGCATTTTAGTTCCGTGGGCAGAAGTTTTTTTCCACTCGACCTTTCAGAACAGATTTGTACAGAAATGCCTCCGGCGCGAGTCAAACGCATGTGTGTTTTTTCACAATGTTTTCGGTTTTCGTCGCCTCGCTACTCTTCTTTTGCTGCGCCGGTGGTGTCTTTGTCACCAAAATGCAGGGCGACTGGTGGTTTCATTCCATCTGACAAATATCCCATTTCATCCCTGGAATATTCCTGATCAACATCCATTTTCCACATCGTGGACAACCTGAAAAATAGATTTCACATGATTTCACAACTTGCCATTGTTGGAGTTTGAGGGCACATAAATGCCTAAGTACAGTTCTCAGTTATCATCCAGTGATGGACATTTTATGATAGCTGACGACTCGCCGAAAATCTTCGTCCAGGATCACAGGTCGGCCCCAATCTTTTTACGACAGCTGCCTCGCTTGCAGAAGATTTTTCTTCCGGCTGCTTGGCTAAGATTCGCGAAATTCCGCAGGTTGAGTTAACTTCCTTTGGAGCTTCAGGGGGACACAGTGTCATAGATTTCCTTGCCAGAACTTTATATGATATGGGTACGGGTGAAAATAGGAACTTCGATAAGAATGGTTTGCTTTTCCACCATTATATCAGAGTCTGTTGTTTTTTTGGGGCACCAAGTTGAACCCATTTTCAACTCTTGCATCAAATCTTGCAGTGAGTCGAGCATCGGTCGCTATGACCCTGAAAGGAGGTAAGCACCCCCAAACATGATGGACTTACTTTTTGGATTTCTTGAGATCTCAGTCATAACATGTCATAACCGCAGCAACATAAATGGCTATGAATCAAAACCTTATCTGTACCTCTTAGATTTTACATTCAAATGACTGGTTTTTACTGTGCAATGACCAATTCCATCGTGCGGGAAAAAAAACAACATGACATAGCTATGGCTACCGTGACCAATCCAAAACCTCTTAATTCCGTGAAAATCTGGCTGATGACATCCAAGCCTCAGTGTGTTTTTTTTTGAAGTTCAACAAAAATCTGGGGAAAGGAATTCATGAGATTCCCCAGAACATCCACAACGAACATCCTGAAAGCCGCGCCAAAAAAAAGGTCATGGCGTGTCTTCTTAGCTCCAGCAAACGGCCAGTGAAACACGCTCGCCCCAAAGGTACGAACGCCTCCCAGTGAAACATGGCCCGCGGCAGCAAACTCTGGCAGTTACACGGGCTCGAAAATAGGTGATGATTTCAAACACATTGTCATATGATCATGTAGTTAGGTGACATAATTGTATGTTTTTAATTGGGTTACCCTTTTTTGATTGTTGTTTGATAAATGCGGTTATTTCGACATTGTACACATTAGTTGATGTCTTCCTAATCCATGATTGCACCTACCACTCAGACGAAGAATCCCAATAGGGGTCAACGGATAAAAACCGCTTCGAAGCAATACTTCCAGAAAAGGAACAACTATGAAAAACTAATCAACCAATCTCAATGTGAACCTTGTGGACTGGAGACTGTAGACCTTTATCAGAATTTGGCAATCTTGGATGCAACAATGCCTTTAGCTGGTCGATGCGTCGATGAGTATCCCCAGTTGAGTATATCAAAGGTTCAAGTAAACAATATGAAGCCCCATAGTTAGTTCAGTTGATTTATATTGATTTATAACTTGGCTAATGATTGGGTTTATGGAATATCGAACTAGTTTTATAGGGTTACAGTTTGTCACAAACGTAACGGGCACATGAGAGGAAGCATCCAAGGTTGACACAGGAAATCGGAGGGGACCGGATGTATGTTGGATGGCCTATTTACTGTGTCCGATCAAAGGATTCCACCAAAGATGTATTTTTTTAAATTGGGTTTATATACATTCGTGAATATCAAATTACATCCCATTTTCATGATTACGATCGATTGATTGAAGAGTTAAATCACAATTTTCATGTTGAAGCAGATCTAAATTTGAGATTTACCCTCTGCTAATTTCTTACAGTTTGCTATTGACAATTGCCATAGAAATAGTTGATTTACTCTCTGGTTATTTAACATAGCCATGGAAAATCCCTTGTAAATGGAGGTTTCTAGCTGGGAAAATCATCTATTTCAATGGGCCATCTATACCATGGCTATGTTTCCACAGTTATGATGAGGATTACGATGAGGATTCTCCGCAAGCCCCGGGACTCACCCGGTGTAGCGGCTCTTGTGGCTCTCCTGACGCGAGGTCCAGTGAGTGGCACTGTATTGCCATATTATATATCATGTTACTTGTGATATGAATATGAGATGCATATGGGAAAAAAGGGCTATGAGATTCAAATAAATATGTATATATATATATATATATATCAGTACTTACTATATAAATCTATATAATATATTGTAAATATACATATATGCATATCATATATATATATATATGCTTATAGTTAAGGTTGCCATCCAGTAAATTATATAACCTACAAATGAACACGGATCCCATGGGGATGACATCAACCATCCGCCAGCTACACGGCACCTTGTAGTGGTTGATGTGTCCCGATTTTCGCAGGAAGACCTCTGGTACCGACGTCAAATCTTCGTCCTGGAGCTGCACGGAGAACGTCAATGGTGGAACCGCAGGAGACCGATATCTGTGTCGATATTTTCAGGATAAAGAACACAACTATTTTTTTTTAACCTTCTGGTAAACTAATATAACATATATATATATATAATATATAATATATAATTATATATATATATACAGAATACTATGGAAAGATCCACCATTTTGAAAAGGTAATTCAACTATTTCTATGGGGTATTTTCAATAGCTATGTAACAAATTACCAGAGGCTATGTTTGTCTTCGGGCGATGATTTCAGGCGATGATTTCAGGGGGTAACTCCCGCATATTGCGACAAACACCTGCAAAAGCTTACATATATCCCATATGCTCCACGGTGCTGGAATATTACCCGAACAAAATGACCCAGTCATGTAGGTAAATATACCAGCAACATGGGTTGCATATGGGTATTATAATTCATGTAATATATTATATATACACACCCATATTCATCTTTATGGTTTCTCCAGGTAATACCCTCAGGTATCCCATGAGAGATCTTCAGAAAAAACTTGGTAAACCTCCCTAAATATTTAGCCTGCTTTGATCATAAAGAAACCCTACAAAACAAACATAGGAACAATACATAACAAAAAAATATTGTGTTATTATACATCTGTGGTGGCGTTTCCAAGTTTCCATGTTTTTTTTCCTACATGAAGCTTGCAATTTTGGACCTCAAAAAAAAAACAATCCACTGAAACGGATTCCAAAGTCCTGGGGCTCCCCATTTTCAAGACCATCTGGTTATGACTAACATAGCCATGGAAAATCCCCAAAATAAATGGAGGTATCTAGCTGGGAAAATCATCTATTTCTATGGGCCATCTATACCATGGCTATATTAAATAACCAGAGGGTAATTTGTCATCCGTCATGGATGACCATGACTTAGTGAAACCTTGTGAAACCAATGGTGACGGCTATCCCCAATTTACAGATCCAGTAGCCTTTGGCAAACGTTTACAGTTTGCGAACTGGAAAATCACCAAATGGAATACGTAAATCAACTGTTAATCGTAAACTAACAAAAAACTATGGAAATGACAATTTTTAATGGGTTAATCAACTCAACTATAAATAGCCATTTTCAATAGCAATCTGTAACCAATTACCAGAGGGTATATCCCATAAAAAGTGGATTATAATCCGATTCCATTCCATTAAAATCCCATTGGACGACCCCATTAGATGATCAGAGGGTAAATCTTCACTAAATCACCATCAAAATAGTGGTTAAATCTCCGTTAAATCACCATTTATAGTGGTTAACCCCCCCATTAGATTATCAGTAACTGGTTGGTGGTTTTAACCATCTTGAAAATATGAAAGTCGATGGGAAGGATTATCCCAATATATTATGGAAAATAAAATTCATGTTCCAAAGCACCAACCAGTGATTATTAGCCAACCCCCCCATTAGATTATCCAGATTAATGTTGACTTATAGTCATGTACCACTAAAATGTCATTAAATCACCATTCATAGTTTGGTTAAACACAATTAAATTATCAGTAAAAATAGGATTTACCAGACATGTAATACCAGATTACCACATTATAGTGGTTAATGTCTGGTAAAAATAGACCATGTTCCCAGTATATGGATAAATACAAAATGTTCCAAAGCACCAACCAGCTATCTATGTTCACCATTTTTTATTATGTAAATCAACTATTTCTATGGTCATGTTCAATGGCAATGTCTGGTAAAATAGTAACATGTACCAATCTATTCATATCACTATTAACTAGATATATCACCATTAATATCACCATTGATAATCATTATTAACCACTATTAACCACTATCAAACCGGTCTCCTCCAAGGACGCGCGTGTGAGTTCCTCGATGCCCAGCTCCAACTTTCGTCTCAGCTCCTGAGATTTCTTCTGAGATTTCTTCAACGCCAAGCGACGGTTGGAAACGACGATGGAACTAACGTTGGACGGTGGGTTAAGACTATAGCTATTGATAGGTAAATAGCTATCTATCTATCTACCTACCTATCGATCTATCTAGACATGGAAACCTCGACTGACATAGCTATTGAACATCACCCATGAATTGATTTACCATAAAATGTTATAAATGGACCATTTTCAATAGATAATGTGGTAGTTCTCACTTTGAGAACCCATCTGGGTAGGTTTTTGTTTCCAACTGAAGTTATGTTTTTTCAACAAAAAAAACCTAGCGATGGGATACGCACATGAAGGATCTTGTATTCCAAATCAGATAGCCATTAGGATACATTAAGATACTGTATAATCCCATCCCCAAAATATTAAACACCCCCTAAATGGCCCTAAATGGATCTAAATGGTCAGAAATATATACAAATCACTTAACCATGGTTTCTGAACATGTTTAATATGCACGGGGGGTATGGATTCTTGAGACTTGTTGATATAATATGTATATATATATAGATATAGATATAGATAGATAGATAGATAGATAGGTAGATAGATAGATAGATCTATATATATATATATAATATAAATATATACATACTCACCCAAGTTACCTTCTCCATTAGCCAAGATCATCTCAGTAGTGCCCACGGGGAAAAAAAAAAACAATGGCACGAGGGGATGGGTTTTGAAAAAAAAACGAGGTTTGGTATACACAGCTATTGACATGGCCCATCCTAGATGCTCTGCATTTTTATTTTCATGCTTGTTCCTTCCTTTCCGAATATTCTTGAAGCTGGTTAGTATATCCCACTTTATAGCCAAAGTACCATAAAGTACCAAGGTTGACCCAACCTTAAGCTGGCCCAGCCAAAAGAAAACAAAGAACGATATTGACCATTCTCAAATACTCTCCGTATGGGTGTGAAAATGGGGCTGTAGACCATCGGATTTTTTCGGTGCCCCTACTGGCCTTTTCAGGTCACCCGGTCACCCTCAGATTGCACATGATTGCACCATATCCCCCCCAAAAAAACTAGTCATAACCAGAACATCCAGAAACATCAGAAACTAACATATCAGAATTTCACGAGATTTATGCTTGATTTCATATATTTACGGTTGAATAATTAGATGATCCATGGCGATACATAAACAATTACTAATTCAGAAACTGATCCATTTATGATAAATTGATGTGCTATTTTATTGATTTCATATTAATGGTTGATTTAGTTGATATCATATCCATATTCACCAGTATCATATACCACATAATATATATATATATATATCATATCTAACCATATACCCTCTGGTAACCTGTTACATTGCTATTGAACATGACCATAGAAATAGTGGAATTACCCATTGAAAATTGTGATTTTCCTTGGTATTTCGTAGGTTAACCAGAGGGTATATCCCATTAAGTGGAGTCTAATCCCATTCCATTCCATCAAAATCCCATTAGACCCCATCAGATGATCAGAGGTTAGATCTCCACTAAATCACCATTTATAGTGGCTAAACCCCATTAGATGATCAAATTATGGTGATTAACCACTATTAACCACGATGTTTTAACCACTGTAAATGGTGATTTAACCACTATTAAATCACCATTTTCTGGTTGGTAAATTACAATCCCATTTTTTTCTCAGTATACGTGGATTATTATCCCATTATAAACCCCATTAAATCCCATTCCATTCCATTCAATCCCATTAAAATCCCATTAAACCTCATTAAATGTATACAATCCATATATTTCACCATTTCACGGTCCCCCCAAAAAACGACCGCGCAAACCAAGGCGCGCTGAGCTCCGAGGCCACCACATCTGTGCGAGTCACGAGGCGCGTGGTGAAGGTGGCCGTGCCGCCGATGCGCGCCGTCAGGCAGCAGGTGTCGAATGGCGTGGCCTCGGCGATTTCCACCATGGAAAATCCGCAGATTTTGACGCTGATTTTGGCCTTTTTCAGTTTTTTGTTGCACTATGATGCAGTTTTTTTGTGTGTTTCGTTTTGTTTTTTTTTTGGGTAAAGCCTGTTATATTGGACTAATATTAAGATTCATGTCTGGTTGGTGGTTTCAACCCCTCTGAAAAATATTAGTCAGTTGGGATCATTTTTCCCAATATATGGAAAAATATATGGAAAAATAGAAAATGTTCCAAACCACCAACCAGATGTTTTATTATATATATGATGTGAAAAAACGACACACAGTCTGCGCAACTTTTTTGTTCAGTTGGAGCCCCAGTGAATCACTTGTGAGTGAACTCATGTTGATATTCCCATTGTATCCCCTGGGTCGTCAAAAATTGATAAACCCAGGGGATACAATGGATAATACTAAAAATAATAATAAATAATCCATGTTTAATCGTGAATGGATTATTTTTACTTTGGATAATACGAAAACTGATTCAAGAAATTCACAGGTTTTACATGGTTTTACCATGTTTTACCATGTTTTATGACTCTTAACCGTCCTTAACCCATTCCAAGGTGAACCCTTTCCCCTGTCGAACCTTGGAGGTGAGCGCCTTGATGGACTCCATGAGATCTTCCAGGGTGATGCCTTCACATAGCTATAGTGAACATTCATATGGCCCAGCAATATTGCCCAACATTTAGTGGTATTAATATAATGAACATATTGCTATTATATGGTGGTAAATGAACATATATATATATATATATATTATAGTGACCATATATCAATATGGCCCATTAATAGCCATTGTTCATATACCCATAGGATCCATGATGATCCATGTATGCTATATATGGTGACATGGATCCCATCAATATACCCCAAATGTTAGCATATATACTATACATGGATCCTATGGGATATGGCATTATAGCATTTAGTGGTAATAGCCATTGTTCATATATTGCATTAGTGGTATTAATATAATGAGCATATTGCTATTCAATGATGGTAAATGAACATATATGATAGTGACCATATATTATATTGTACAACACATATTGCCCAACAAATATTTGCAGTGTAGGTGAACGATGGTAAATGGATGAAGATATGACCCATTTTTATGATGATAAATGAGTAAATTGATGGTAAATCTTTGGCATCACCACTTATAAATAGCCCTTAGAATGGTAAATAATGGTTAATGATGGATAATATTTGATGGTAAATGGTTGGTAATAGCTATAGCATTAATGGGCTATTATTATTATACCACTAAATGCTATAGCTATATATTAATGTGTGGCCATAATATATGTCCACTATAGCTATAGCATTTAGTGGTAATAGCCATTGTTCATGTATGGCATTTAGTGGTATTAAAATAGTATAGCCAAATATTTGGAGTGTAGGTAATGGTAAATGGATGAAGATATGGCCCATTTATAGATTGTATAGTATGGCCATATATTTATAGTATAGGTAAATGGATGAAGATATAGACCATTTATAGACTTTATAGTAATTTTATTATATATATATAAATGATTATATATGTAATCATGGTGAGTTTCCACGACTATAACGTTAGTTTACGGGAAAATTTACTTAAACATAGGATGTTGCAGCAACCATAGGGACAGAATGGGATGTGGTGGGATAGATGCTTGGCATTGGGCTTTTTTTCGAACTGTGTAAGAACTCCGCGCGAAAAATGTGGCTCCCACCATGGCATCTCCGAAATTTCATCTCGTTGATGAAGTAATGTTTGTTGGTAGCAAAAGCAGAAACGCGGAAATCATTGGGAATTCAGAACAATAAACCATCCCCAATGTAAGGTGATTGAAATTGTGTAGACATGTGCTATATCTCCAAGGGAACGAATTAGAAAAAGCCGCCTTTCTTGATTTGCACAAGGTTTCTGCTTGAGGAAGACCCTGACTGTATGCAGGGGTTGTCAGGGTATAGATGATGCATAGAAAATTTGTAGGGATGGCTGCTAGAATTTCACCTCAAATGCGGCTAAATGATGGCAGTGGAAAGTTTCACGTTTTTCAGTTTCAGATGTACCTTAGCTTCCATTGCAATACAGGTAGATCGTATTTTGGCGGTAGCTGAATTTCTCCTGCATCTATCAGTCTATCACCAGATTGTTCACCTTGGAATTCAGCAGCCACTTCCAATCCGACAAGCATCTTCCAAACCACTTCCAGGGATGTATTCTTGCTGGTGGCTCGGTAGCTCAAAACACGCATGTTTTTTGTTTTTTTTTGTGTATGTTTCTCCACGTATGTCAAATTTCGGGGTGGGGGGTGACTTCTCGGGGGGATGGGATTGCTACTTATGTCTGGAATATATACATTGCTAGAGACGTTCTACGGTATGTCATGGGGTTTGTGGTAATACGTCTCATGTCAACCTGTACATGGGGTCGTACGTCACGGATGTGCTTTGCTAGCGTCTAGGTTACGTCATGGAGTTTGGGGTAGTACGTTTCATATCTTGGATGGAGAAGTATGTGTTTAAACAATATGAAACTGTTTTGATATACATGTTTACTTCTATTGGGGAATGGTTGGCCATGTGAGTTTGGAAACTAAGACGAATATGCCATCTTACGTTGTATTACTTCCAAAGAACAAAATGATGCCCACAACGTTTCTTGGCGCGCGTTTACGACCCGACCGGGCTTTGCTGGTTTGAAGCCACCAACGCCACTTAGAAAGATGAAAGTTCTTGTTTTTGTTGATCTTACTCCTTTGCCTCAAACAAATTATATAACATTATATATAAAACTTAAATATGGGAAATCACTGGTTTTCCCTGAGAAAATACTATCTCAAAATTTGGATTTGCATCAGGAACCCTCATAAATGAAAAATATTCCCCATGGTGTATTTCCCATTGGGAAAGTAACAAATTCTCTGAAACTAACCCATGACCATGGCTTTTCCACAGTTACCCGGTAGATTCCAAGCCAAGGTTCGCCCTGACTGCATCACATCCACATGCTCAAAGAGAGTGAGTGCATCCTTCCAAGGTCGACGTCAATGAGCGGCATCATATGAAAACCCTGTTATCCCTTACAAAATGGAAGGATACGCAGCAAACAAATCGAATAATGACCAGCGAAAATGAAGTATAAAACTATAACACCAGCAAAAATAGGGGGTGCAACGAGCAAGAATGGGGGAATTGACTAACCATGGTCTAATGAGAGCTACTCTCTGAACAAACAAAAACGCTCTGGGAGTGACATCTATCTTCATTTCCTCAAGGGTCCCGGGTACCTATCATGTACTACCCAAATCTAAGCTGGCAGCCTTGAAAAGTGGAATCTGGCCATTTCTGATCCATGACAAATCTCAGAGCACTACTGCTCAGGTCTCATTAAAACGAACGTTGGCACCGCACGAACATCCACAAAGAATATGGAAAAAGTTAGAATCAGCAGCGAAACCCATGAGATCGACAACAACATGGGCTGAGTTTCTCACATTTTTTCATCACAGCATGGAACGGATATAGTATGCTCTTTCATACAGTGTGAATGGACTCTTATGGTCCTATGGCTTCAGGACTTAAGTCTGACGAACAAATGATGAACCGAATATAATATACATATATAATATATAATATAGAATATATAATATATAAAATATAATATATAATATATAAAATATAATATATAATATATAATATATAATATAATTAATATATATATAATATATAATATATAAAAAAAATATGTATAATATAATATATGTTTATCCCTAAATGATGATGGTAGTGTTTTAGAGGAAATATTTGGAAATATGATGATCCAACGACTTTGGGGATCTTTGAAATTCCTGGAATCCTGTTCTTTTTTTGACTTCTCAACAGCAATCAATTGAGCATGAGGATATGGAACACTTTGTATTGAAGTTGTATTTTAAAAAACAACCAGCAGCATATCCAACTCATGGTTCTCTCCCAATTTGATTCTTTCTACATCTATGAATCAAGCGGTCGAGCAATATCAAACATCCACTAAACCGCTTTAGAGACATGTATAACTGGTTGGTGGTTTTAAACATCTTGAAAAATATGAATGGGAAGGATTATCCCATATGTGAAATGGACAATAAAATTCATGTTCCAAAGCACCAACCAGTGATTATTAGCCAAACCCCCCATTATATTATCTAGATTAATGGTGATTTATAGTCATGTACCACTAAAATGTCATTAAATCACCATTCATATAGTTTGGTTAAACCCCTTTAGATGATCAGTAAAAAATAGGATTTACCAGACATGGAATAGCAGATTACCACATAGAACAGTGCTTAAGTCCCCAGATTTGCACGTGGCTCTGGCTCCATCTATGGTGACATCCAAAGAACACGCGGACTCGTCCCTGAAAAAAAACCTGGCTGCTTAAGAACGGATGTCCCACAATTATGATTATGTCCAATATATTGAGTACACGATCATCCCTTTGAAAAAAAATACTTTACTTCGTGTGATCCCCACCATGACATTTATACATTTTCTTACTGGCAAATCTTCTGGCATTCTATCTGACATATCTTCTGGCATTCTATCTGGCATTCTATCTGGCATATCTTCTGGCATATGTTCTGGCATATCTTCTGGCATTCTATCTGGCAAATCTTCTGGCATTCTATCTGGCATAGCTTCTGGCATTCTATCTGACATTCTATCTGGCATATCTTCTGACATTTTTTCTGGCATTCTATCGGGCATATCTTCTGACATTCTATCTGACATATCTTCTGACATTCTTTCTGGCATATCTTCTGACATTCTGTCTGGCATCTTTTCTGACATTCTTCCCGTTGAGGTCCGGCAGTGCCCACTGCGATCTGGAAGTCGCGGTTGAGGCCCGGCAGTGCCCACTGCGATCTGGAAGTCGCGGTTGAGGTCCGGCAGTGCCCACTGGGATCTGGAGCTCGCGGTTGAGGTCCGGCGGTCCGGCAGTGCCCACTGGGATCTGGAGCTCGCGGTTGAGGTCCGGCAGTGCCCACTGCGATCTGGACTGCGAGGAGGAGGCGGCGGGTGAGGAGGCGGAGGAGGCAAAGGAGGCGGAGGAGGAGGAGGAGGAGAACAGCTCTGATAAAATCTAACAACCCTCACCTGGCAGGTGGGGAAAAATCAAGTAAACTGACACTTTGCTCTGGAAACAATCACCATCTTTAATGGGTTTGGTTTAATAGGTTTAATATGGTTTTATAGGTAAATCAACGATCTCTACCCTTTGGTAAACTATCATAGCTATTGAAAATTGCCATGTATAGTTGATTTTCCTATTAAAAATGATGATTTTCCATAGTTTTGTTAGTTTACCAGTTTACCAGAGGGTATGTGCCATTAAGTGGATTATAATCCCATTACATTCCATTGAAATCACATTAAACCCCATAAAATTCTCAGATGGTAAATCTCCACTAAATCACCATTTATAGTTTGCTTAAATTTCCATGAAATCACCATTTATAGTGGTTCAACCCCATTAGATGATCAAATTATGGTGATGAACCACTATTAACCACGATGTTTTAACCACTATCAATGGTGATTAACCACTATCCCATTAAAATCCCATTGAAATCCCATTGAAATCCCATTAAAATCCCATAGCCATAGTTTAAATGGTTTGATATGGTTTTTCATGTGCCATGTTCCAGTTCGCAAACTGTAACAACCAGAGGCAAATCATCGCCCAAGCTGCCGAGACGGGCATCTCCAGGTGTTGGATGGCGCCCAGAATCTCTGGGATCGACAAGGCATCTCTTAACCTGGAAGCGAAGCTGGATACTCAGTCGCTGCGTAGATGTCTATATTGGATATCCAAGTCTACCATGTATGATATATATATATATATATATGTGGCTATATGGTATATGACAGACAGTCTGCGTTCTATAATAGAATCATCCTCAAGTAGCCAGAGTATGGAATTTCGTTTTTTTTTTGAACATTATTTGCTCTATTTTCCAGGATGACTATATAATTGTATATATATAAATATAACATACCAGGTGAGGCCCACCAGTTATAAGTTAGTTCCTAAACCCATTCACCGTAGAATTGTATGTTTTACTTATATAAATATAATTAACATATTAACAAACATCCATTAACCATATAATTCTAAGTTGTCTAAACCCATCTAAGCCCATTGATGATTATTAGTTGTTAATTATTAATATCCTTCATGAAAAATCATCGAAAAAAACACCACCTTCATTCATTATCCGACTCCGAGGCCACAAAGGGATGGGAAAAACTTACACCTCCTCAGAGCTTTACAGGATAAAAATTACAATTGTAAATCATGGTAAATCCACCATGTTTCACATTTTACCATGATTGAACCATACAAAAACAGGGATTTACTATAAAAAATGGTGGAACCATGGGAATTGTTGGGAGGGTCTTCAGATGATTGAAGAACCAGCCAATTTTTGGAGATTGAACCATACAAAAACAGGGATTTAACAAATGAGTGGATTCCCGGGGGTTTCCTAAAATAGGGCTACCCCCAAATCATCCATTATTTAGTAGGATGTTCCCTTATAAACCATCCATTTTGGGTACCCCTTTGATGGAAACCCATTTTTTGGATGTGTCTGAAAATGGTAGATTGACCCCATCATCCGATTTTGATTGGGGAGATTTGGATTACAGTTTACAGGTGGATACAGAACATGGTGATGTATAAAAATAGATCGAAAATTACAATGGTACACAACTTCCCGGCAAGAAATTTCGCACCAGTAAAAAAATGGGAGACCCCAAAACCAATTTGTTTCGTTCGATTTTCAGAAGCAAAACACTGAGGGATAGGACTCACAAGGACTACCCTCTGGTTATTTCACATAGCTATGGAAAATGACCCATTTATAGATGATGTACCTATTAAAAAAGGTCCATTTTCCAAAGCTATGTTCAATAACCAACGGCTAAATCCTCCGTTGCAAGCAGGTCACTCCTGGTAGTCGATGAAATTTCTGTCCTCGAAGAACAAAAGCGGTTGAGGGCGCCCCCCTCCGCAGATACCAAAGCAGGTTTCTGAGTCAACATGTTTAAGCATCGCGATAAATTATAATAATTCACTATATAATTATATAATCTGAATAGTTCGGCTATTTTGGGATGATTCCGCTATACATTCACCAGTATTCCAGGCTTCGGGAGAACATTGAGGTCGTGATGAAATTTACCCAGAAACATGTTGCTCAGCAGAGATGCACTGCAACACAGAACGAATTTTCACGGGATCGTCCCTGTGTGTTGACGTAGCACTCAGGGCTTACTCAACAAATTGCCAGTTGGAATTGTCAACTGTCAACCCAAAAAGTCTCCTGCAACATGAGGCTCTGCTCGAAGTGGCTTCGGATTTCCTGACAGTCTCACAGTCTCAGTTTTCATAAAAACATTAAATTTGTTGGTGGTTTCAACAAATGGAACAAATTCAATGGGGATCATTCCAAGTTTGGTCAAACAGTATTGCAAACGGCCAACTAAGTACTATATGGTCAATACCCAACATAGATATGGACAACCCTACAGGATGGGGCCCCCCAGTTATAAGTTGGTTTATAAACCATTATAACCCCATTAACTATAGTTATACCTATACCACAACCCATAGAATTCAGCCCCTTTTTGCCTTAACGCGAATTCGACTGGGGGCCCCATCCTGTGCCGATCGTAGATCCTTTTCTTGGGGAAACCCACCGATTTCCACACGTGTTGGTAACCTACTGAACCTTAGCGCAGCTTAGCTAAGTCGGGAAACAACAGTAGCAGTACCAGATATACCTCCAGCCATCCCAAATTGCCTTGATGCCACCATTTCTGTTCGTTGAAACACACACACACACACCTTAAAAACACAAACAAACTATATGAAGTCTCACCTATTTACTCCCTGCTGTTGTTAATTATTTCCCATTGTCCAAAAACATGTCAAATGTTGCTGGTTACCTTGGATAAACTTACCAAACGATGTGAAAAAACGCATGGTTCCCGTCGCCATGATCTACAGTAATGCGGGGTTTCCCATGTCTTTGGTGTGTATGTTTACAACAAAATAAACACCAAATAAATATATATATATATATTATAGATATCTATCTGGTTGGTGGTCTTAACCATCTTGAAAAATATTAGTCAATGAGTCAATGGGAAGGATTATCCCATATTTTATGGCAAATAAAAATGTTCCAAACCACCAACCAGTATATATGTATTATATATATATATATGTATCCCCATATGGTATGGGTTATAACTACGAACTCCCAAATCCCATCTCATCATCTCATCCCAGCTCCATGTTTGTTTAAAATTGAACCATATATAATCTCAACTATGTCGGCTAAATCCCAATAAAACATAGTTGAAATTATATCCACAAAAACAAAAACGCAATATTCACCATATTAAAACCAAAAACAACCATAACAATTCCCATATCTGCAAATCCATTAAACATCCCCATTAAGACATTCCATGAAACATATTCCCACTAACCATCCCAACGATATTCCCACTACCCTCTGGTAATTTATCATAGCTATTGAAAATTGCCCATTTATATTTTGATTTACCTACTAAAGATTGTTATTTTCCAGTTCGCTATGTTAGTTTACCTAGGGTATGTGAATCCCATTACATTCCATTAAATCCCATTAGAGTCCCATTAAAATCCAAACCACCAACCAGGTATGGTATATATAGTATCATAACCAGAGCGTAACCATCCCCATCCCCATCCCCAATCCCCACCTGCATCGCCTCCTTATCCTCCAACGCGCGGATGTGACTGCCATGGTCACCCCCACTGCGCGCTTCTTCCACGGTGGCCCAGACCATGACGCCGATGCCAAGGGACAGCAGAGTGTAGGAAGTGACCTGAGGCTAGCAATGAAAAATGGATGTAATAAAAATGGACATATGGATAAACACATAGATAAGATGGATTTGATAGATTTGATAAACATACAGATAAAATTAGATAGATAGATAGATAGATAGATAGACAGACAGACAGACAGATAGAATAGATAGATTTGGTAGATTTGATGTCAAATAAATGGATAAACAGATAGATGGATAGATAGAGATCGATAGATAGGTAGGGGTTACAGTTACAGCCAACAACCATGGTGACCTGGAGATGTCTGGACACGGCGATTTTGCATACCATCCGGTAACTTAACAGTTTTGCTACGGAACATCACCATATTTTAAAAGGTATATGTCACCAATAAATAAACATTTCTCCAGACATATGTTGAATTACCAAAAGGTATAAGAATTATTACATTATCATATTCCCTAAAATTTTAGATACTATATGTCATAAAAAGAATGTGTTATATCATGTATTGAATTACAACCTCCACAAGATATGATATATGAATCATTTGTTTAGACCTTTTTAGGGGTGACCTGGAACAGTCTGGCGGCCAGATATGTTTGTTGGTTTATAACCCTGATGAACTACTTCGATATTTAACAACTGAGCTTATTTGCCGGGGCACCAACTTGTACTAGTAACTAGTATATCCCAATTCCACCTCGTTATACCACCATTCTTGTTGCATACTTCTTCATTATTGCAAATATCTCCGATCAACAATCCAGTGATATTCCCATGTTCAGAAGACATTCCCATCATTTCCAAATCCGATCATAAAACGAAGATTTCAACACACCAGATTTTCCCACCCTTGGTAGACTTATACTCCGATTTTTGTTTCAGTGATATTCCCAATACATATCCAGTTATATTCCCATTTCATCCCATTTTCCCCGCATTTTTTTTAATTCTCTACTCAAATTCAACTCACCATCATTCAGGTCATTTAGATTTATGAATCAGCTATATTCCCTTGATATTCCCATAACAAATATTTATATATATATATAACATGAAAATTTTCAAATGTTATTTAAATATATATGCTATTATTATTTTGATTATCATTTTTTATTTTATATTCCCCGTATATTCTAAATTCCATTATTCACAATTATGTAATAGTTATATTCCCTTTATATATATATATACATATATATATATGCACATACAGATACATATTTCATGATGTTCCCGTCCTAAATGACAGGGCACCCAGGTGTACAACAGCAGCAGCAGCCCACCAAAGACGTCCAGATCCAGGATGGGACGAACCACAGAGGCAGCCCAGCCATCGTTGGTGGAGAGTTGGAACATGGTGAAGGCCGCCTGGAAGGGCGTTGTTTCTTTCCCCTTGCTATGAACAATAGGGATTTGAGTGAGGAAAATGGGGATGTTCGACCTTTGGCCATGAAAATTTGGGATCTAACTGATTTTGGACTATGGGAACACGTGGATTTACCTGGATTTAACCGTGGATCGGGATTGATCTGCCACACGCAATATTTGGATTTGCCAGGGGAAAATGGTGGTTTAACCAACATCAAATGACATAAATGCTGCTTTCGTTCATGAAGTCAGAGATGAGAGTGTTTAACCAAGAAAAAACGATCAAACAATTGAGAAAATGAGCATGAACAATCTGGTTTTGACATGCTTTGACAATTAACAATTGGATTCATAATCCAATTTGGGCACAACCCATTGCATTGCCCCCACTGTCACATCATACCACCTTCATCATGGTCATGACATTGGGTCTTCCCCTCTTACTGGGTACTGCAAGCTGCAAGATGGCTTCCAAGTAGTCTGGCGTCGATGTTGTCTGCGAGTGCTGGGTGCCCAACGCCGGCACTCTCTGTAGATCCCGTCCCCGTCCAGAGACCATCCATGCCCCGCGAGATACCTTGACACGTATCGGTGCTGCCATGCCTGTGACGTATCTCGATTGTCCTTGCCCTTCCTCGCAGTTTTTTCTCTGTTCGGCAATGCTAGAATCCGTGCCAGGAGCTTCTGGCACTCGTCCCTGACAGCTTGCTCAGCCTTCCGTTGCTCTGCCACTTCCTTCTGCTGTGCCTGAATTGTGACTCGTCACGTGGCACTGAACATCGCTGACATTGCCTCTGCATGTTGCAAATTCATGTACAGCATTCTCTACAACCTCCAAGCAATTCTCCCTCGCCTCCCACAACAGGTCTGCGGCACGTTTTGCATCAGCTTCCAGTGTCCTCAGAACTTGCGCCTGGCCAGCTGAGTTGCGTCGTGCTTGCCAGCCCGTCTCAAGCTTTTCACAATGTGTTTGGATGTTTCTTACACTGCAGTGCGAACTGGTTCAAGGTGAACTCCTCCTACTCTTCCCATCACCTGTGTTCTATGCTCCGTGCAGGTTTCTCTACGCTAGATTTGTTGCCACCGCAAGTTGCCTCCTCGGGGACATCTCGTTCTCTCTCACCTGTGGACATTCTGGACGATTTTTAGCTCTTCGAAACTAACAAAGTGCTGTAAATTACAGCATTTTTTGCGTTTTAACGTCTTTTGCGGGAACAATGCAAAAACGCAGAAAGTGCTGTAAATAGCAATGTTTTTTAGACCAATTACAGCATTTTTGGCAAGTTGATCGCAAGAAATGCTGGTATTTACACATTTTTTGGGAATCAAGAAAACGTGGAAGGCACGAAACACTGTAAATGGTGGTGTTTTGGCCAGTTTTGGACGCTGAAACGCTAGTATTTACGCAGTTTTTTACCCGTGACGGTGCCAAACCCAATCCTATAAATTATAGCAGTTTTTGAACTTGTTGAAACTTTTTTGCCTTGATGAACGCAAAAACACTGGTATTTACGCGTTTTTCGAAAAATCAAAGATCGTGACGTGAACGAAACCCTGTAAATAATAGTGTGTTATCCACTTTCGGGGACTAAAACTGTAGTATTTACGCGTGTTCTTGCCATCTGACAGTGCAACATGCTGTAAATTACAGCACTTTGTGCGTTGTTTATGTGCATTTTTTAAACGCGCGATGCTTTCACATGTTCTTTGCATTCTTCCACAAGAAACAACCTTGCAGATTGAAACTGGACGACAGCGTGACCCGAAAGAAAGCTGGAGGGAGGAGACGCACAGAAGCTTTTACACACACAGAGGCATTTACACAGAGAAGTCTTTACACAAAGGAGCTTATTACACTTACACGGAGAAGTCTTTACTCTAAGGAGCTTTTGCACACAAACGTCTAGGAGCTTTTACACACAGAAGTTTTTACACAAAGAAGTCTTTACACATAGGTTTTTTTTACACACAGACGCGTTTGCACACAGAAGCTTTTACACAGAGAAGCCTTTACACAGAGGAGCTTTTTCACACAAAAGCGTTTACACACAGCAAGCTTTTACACACACACAGGGGCTTTTACACAGAGAAGTCTTTACACAGAGGGGCTTTTTTACCCACAGAAGGTTTTACACAGAGAAGTCGTTACTCAGAGAAGTCTTTACTCTAAGGAGCTTTTGCACACAAACGTCTAGGAGCTTTTACACGCAGAAGCTGTTACACAAGGAAGTCTTTACACAAATAGCTTTAACACACAGACGCGTTTACACGCAGAAACTTTTACACAGAGAAGCCTTTACACAGAGAGTTTTTACACACGGAAGCTTTTACACACGGTGAAATCTTTACACAAACGCGCTTTCACACACAGAAGCTTTTACACAAAGAAGTCTTTACACAAAGTGGTTTTTACACACAGAAACTTTTACACACAAAAGCTCTTACACAGAGAAGTCTTTGCACAGAGGCGCCTTTACACGAAGTAACAATTTGAAATTGGCAGCAGTTCTTTAGGAAAAACCCTTCGAAGGAGCTTTCGGGAACTCACTTGCTCCAAAAAAAATTGTCTATTTCCAAAAAAGTTCCTATTTCATGAATATGTTCCAAAAAACATAAGGAATATCTTTCTGAAGCAGGTCCTCATTCAATAGCTTTCAAGCGATGAAATAGAGGGTCGAGTAATCCGGCGGAGCCGACGATGAGCGTCAGCTCAAAAAAAACAATAAATGGCATTGCCAATTAATAAATGAACATAAATTAATGCAGTTGCATATTAATGATATGTAATGGGTATATTGTGGGCCATGCAAAATAGGTAATTAAATGACATGCACCCCACAAACCTATATACAGTTTATCTAGGGTCTGATCAAACAAACAATTGATCTTAGCCAAGCGGAAAATCTTGGATGAGCTGCTAACAACAAACTAATTTATCTATATTGATCTCGGTATTGCAGCACTTTCCCATTTATCTTGGTTGGATCCGTTTGGTATATTCTTGATATGTGTTTATCGTTCGCACGAAATTGTTCTTCAACCAACCAGTCGAAATATTTATGGAGGCTACCTTCCTTCTCCGTCATGCCATTCTTCAAAGGATTCTTCTTGTGGTACACATTTCCTGCAAAACGGAAAATTACATGTAATCTCGTGTGCAGGAGTGTCGATATCAAACAATTAATAATTTGGGCGCCAAAGAAAGAAATTGTGGTTTGTCTGAACATAAGATACATCAAAATCCCATGGAAAATAAAAATGTTTTTTCAAAAACAATAAGTTGGATGTATCCTATGTTCAGACAAACCACAATAAACCAAATATTATGGTTTATGACAATTCACGTAATACGCCACTGGTTTTATGACCAAATATTGTTATCGTTTCAATTTCAAAAACAAATGCAGTAAATTGGTGTCTGTTTGAATAAACCCACTTGCTGAACTGCAGAAACTGATCGGCCAACATATTCGAAGAACATCATGAGCAGCGTTGAAACCCATTGTCAAACATCTGTTGCGGCTCAACATATTAACTAGGGAATGTAGTTGGTACATTGTGAAAATTCCCTTATACTTGATAGGCCCTGGGGATTTGACAATAAATCCGCTATGAGTACATGAGTACATGATAATTTTCATATACATACATATTATATTATACCATCATACCCCCATTTTATGAAGAAAGCTACAGTATCATCAACCGACTTCAACACTGCTCACATTTCACATGTTTACCCTCTGGTAATTTAACAGTTTGCTATTGAACATGGCCCATTTATAGTTGATTTACCCATCAAAGATTGTTATTTTCCATAGCTATTTAGTTTACCAGAGGGTACATGAGGGTACCCGGTTACCCCTGCAGTTACCCCATGTTATCTCTCAGCGTGCCTTGACGGACTGGCCCCAATATTCGTAGACCCACGTCTGGTCCATCAGTTCCTGGGGCTGCACGCTTCCAGCCGACTTGGGTCATATCAGTCGCGGATTCGCGGATTCGCGGATTCGCGGATTCGCGGCGCAACGTGGCATGGTCAAAATGTGGGTTCATTGTGGTGTTTGAATGAATTCAGTACTAATATTACTATCCCCTATGGGCAGATATGGGCAGTTTAGATGAGTTCAGCCGTTTAGCCCATCTTTGACCATGGCCCATAGAAATATCTGCATTCACAGAACATGGAGAAAGGGAACCACAATGGCTACACGGGATGACAACAGGTTACAGTCTGAAAAATAGTAGTCAGTTGGGATTAATTATTATTCCCAATATATATATATGGAAAAATAAAGCATGTTCCAAACCACCAACCAGTCATTAAAGTCCAAGATCCCAAACCCAAATTTAGGGATCCACACATCGATAGAAACGAAAAGGACATGGTTTTCCTGACCCAAAACAAAGGGAATCATCTCCTGAGGATGGCCAATACCATTGGACCATGGCGAAGGTGATCGGAAGCCCCATCCCCAATCATTCGGTCAGAATTGGCAATGGATCCCTGAATGGATCCCTGTATATATATATAGCCACCAGAAAAATCTAGTTGCTATAGTCAATATTACAAATACATACATATAGTTATCCTCTGGCAAACGTGGCTCCGTGGCCGTCTGGAAGATCACCTATAAATGTGGGTTCTTCGCAGCCATGTGTGAGGATCGTGACAGGGTACACAGCAGACTTATCTCATTGGTGAAATCTTCTACTATAGTTGTAGTATAGTTAATAGTTTTATATACCAAATAGATCCAAATATATCAGCAAATTTATATCAGAGTCCTACTGTTATACGCTATATGGTGGGATTTATGACGTAGTTATAGTCACAGTTATAGTCACAGTTACTTTATCTGGTTGGTGGTTGAGCCACCCCTCTGAAAAATATTAGTCAGTTGGGGTTACTATTCCCAGTATATGGAAAAATAAAACATGTTCCAAACCACCAACCAGTTATATTGTTACTCCAATTATTAACCATTATTAACCATAGATTAACCATAGATTAATCATAGATTAACCAGGAAAATTCCATGGTTCCAGTCACCACCAACCACTTATCTTCCCATGGCAGATCTCCCGTTACGGCTCGGCTAACGCTGATCTCTGGCTGAGCATCGAAGGTGCCATTCGCCTCCAGAATCCCACGGCTCCATGCGCCAGCGGACCAGTAGACGCCACCCATCACCAGGGCGAGGTAAAGCAAGGCCTGAAAAAACATGGGGAATTCATCATGTTGGGGTTGTTTTCGTCATGGAGAATTCACCTGCAGGACCTGGAATCACTCAATTTTGTGTTTTTGTTGGAAACAATATAGGAATTTTTGATAGTAGGTGAAACCTGTAGGGAGAAGAATGGGTTGATTTCACGGATAGTTTGCAGGAAACCCTGTTTCTATTGCAATCAAAACATATCCCAATGTGCTCCATGGTGCTGGAATATTTGCGAACATGTACCCTATAAATGACCCAGTCATGTAGGTAAATATACTATACATGGAGCATATGGGTGTTTCTATTGCAATCAACACATATTAAACATGTTGGTTCCTGCGAATGTTTTCTTCAAATTCGAAACTTTCAAGTTCCCAACTTGGCAATGCTCAAGTCATTGGCACTGCCTCCGATGGGTGCAGATCAGAACTGAATTGGGCTCCTTTCAAGGACTTGACATACCCTCTGGTAAACTAACATAGCTATGGAAAATCACCATTTTTAATGGGAAAATCCACTATAAATGGTCATTTTCAATAGCTATGTTAAATTACCAGAGGGTAACTTGACTATCAATGTGCTTGGGAAACTTTGACTGTAGTGGCTGCCAACAATGTCCTTTTGGTCAAAATAGCTTTGGGCCGGGAGCTGCTATACCATCTATCATCATTTACCTGTTAAAGGGGGTTTCCAAACAACCCCCTCTATTAATCAACCAGCCAATGGGAAAATGGCTCTCCAGCGTTTTTTTTGGGGAATGTAGATTCAACCATAGTTCCGAAGCGCTCCCTACGAACAAATGTTTGCTTCGGTGCCTTGTCTCTCAGGTGACCAACTCAAAAAACGTCAGTTTACCGTTTACGGTTAGTAATTACTAGTGTTGCATATATATGGTTTTATATTAAATCATATCATATTTTATGTTATATATTAAATATTATATATTATAAATAATATAATATAAATTTTATAATATATAATATATAATATAATATTAAAAATTATATATTATATGAAATATTTCATTTTATATCAATTATTATATTATGTATGATCTCATAAATTATATTATAGTATATATTATATCATATTATCATATATTATATAAAAATACATTGTATTATATATTATATAATAATAAACAAATATATTATATTAAAATATAGTGTATTCAAACATATTATATTATTATATATTGTATTATATTAAATGTTGTTATATTATATTACATTGTATTATATTATACATATTATTTTATATATATAATATTAAATATAATATTAAATATATATATAATTTAAAATATTATATTATATATATATTATTATATATATTAAATTATATATATATTATATTATATTACATTATATTAAATTAAATTATATATTATAATGTAACATATAATATTATATTATATTACATTATATTTTATTATACTACATTATATTATATTATATGATATTATATTATATTAAATTATATTGTGTTATATTATATTATACAATTATACATTATACATTATTATATATATGTAATTAAATATATTAATATTTCATATATTATACATACATATTTATTCATAGCAAACTCATGACTTACCAGCAAAAGCAATGGATTTGCATGGATTTACTATGATGTACTGAAGACTAATGAATTGATAAAAAAATGACATGAAACCCGTGGGTTTTTGCTTCGAAATGTCGAGGTTTCCTACAACAAAATTCCACCTCATGTGCATCTTGCAGAATCTTGCATGGAGTTACATATGACTTGAGCTCCTACCTCTTTGAATCAACAAGTGAACAGATTCATCTCTTGCGGATGCCTCTAGCCTTTTGCTTGGCCAAACAAATGGACATACAAACATCTCCAGGTTGACGCGAAAACGGGTGGATGTGGGATTGTCGTCCGAATTGTCAAGTTTACAACATACCATCTGATTATTTAACATAGCCCTGGAAAATCACCATGTTCAATAGGTAAACCATCTATTTCTATGGGCCATCTATACCATGGCTATGTAACAAATAACCAGAGGGTATCATCTTTATAGTCATTTATCATCTTGAATTATGCCTATCAAGTTTATATCAATATAAATATGCCTCAGATCCGGAAATGTTTTTTGCATTGTCCAATCAGTAGCTGTCCAAATGTCCTCAGATGTCACCGAGAAATCCACCGAGAGTTTTCCGTTGCTGCGGTGCAACTCCAAGGGGCTTTGGAGGATCGTATCATGCTATCCAGAACCAGTGAAAGCTCCTGTAAGCTTTCAGCGCTGATGTGGCTGCAATCCACTATCCACCTCTAAAATTAGATCCATTAACGGTTAAATCTCCATTTATAGTGGTTGAATCAGATATGATACCATTTATAGCGGTTAAATCTCCATTAAATCACCATTTATAGTGGTTAAACCTTCCCATTAGATTAGCAGTAACTGGTTGGTGGTTAAGCCTACCCCTCTAAAAAATATGAGTTCGTCAGTTGGAATGATGACATTCCCAACTGAATGGAAACATAAAATTCATGTTCCACACCACCAACCAGATACATATCAGATATGATCAAGACGTCTACCGTAGCTAGTTCTGTAACATGTAACATCATCTAACCTGACCGAATTTCAATGGTAATTTCAGGATCCTAAAATAGAGGTACTGTACCATATTTTTGGCCATATTTTGTGGAGATCTTCCCTGAAATTTAGGCCTTATATAGGCCTTATATATGGTAGGTACCTCCAATTTAGGTTCCTGAAATGGCCATTGATAATTACCATCTGGTTATTTAGCATAGCCATGGAAAATCACCATTTTTAACATAGCCTTTGACAAATAGCTGATCCTTTGACAAGTTGGGATGTGCTTCCCAGCTGTCCCAGCTGTCCTTGAGCCGCGTGGAGGTGCGCGCGAACTGATAGACCCGCAGCATGCGCCAGCTCCGAAGGCCACTGAAGCGCCAGAGCCAGCCCGGTTTGTTGAACAAAATGACGTCCAGCGCGGCACAACCCACCTGGATTCTGGATGATTCTGGCGATTCGTCATTTTTGGAGCTCCGTTGATTTGAAGTCACTGAATTACGTTCTTCAACAAAAAGTTTCTGAAAAAGACTTCATATCAAGCTACTTAAATACTTCACACATACTTCAAATACAGTAAACTTCAAAAACATGTTGATTTTGGTGATTGTTGATGATGGTTGTATCACGTTCCACCTTTAAACTCGCTGTTGCTTTCCCTGGTCTTGCTGGTTGATCAACCCATCCCGGAGTCATCCCCGGTCTGCTACTGCTTGGTTTTGAGGGCATCTCTGTTGTGACACTAAGTTACTATATTGTTAATGATGGTTAATATATGGTTAATAATGGTTAATATATGGTTAATAATGGTTAATCTATGGTCAATAATGGTTAATAATAATCTCGTTGGTGGTTGAGCCTACCCCTCTGAAAAATGATGGAGTGAGTAACAGTTGGGATGATTAATTATTCCCAACTGAATGGGAAAAACTGAATATCTTGGTTAGACAACTCCCCACTAAACCACCTCGTATAACCAGGTAATAACTATATTACAGCAAACAGAGGGTAAACTTAACCACTTGGTATAACCAGGTAAAAACATGTGATAACATGTGAAAACTATGAACCAACAGGGCGGGGGATTCTTTCCGTCCCACCGGGCGGTGCCCCCGTCAAAAAGAGGACGTTGCATAGGTAGGCTTTTTATCGCCATCCAACGTAACGACAAAGTGAGTTCACACCCATGAACTCATCCAACAACAAGGTACACGATCATTTTTTTTAATCAAGTAAACGGACACTTTGCTCTGGAAACAATCACAATTTTTAATAGGTTTGATATGGTTTAATATGGTTTAATAATAGGTAAATCAACAATTTCTACCCTCTGGTAAACTAACAGTTTGCTATTGAAAATGGCCATAGAAATAGTTGATTTACCCATTAAACATGGTGATTTTCCATAGTTATGTGGCTGTTTACCAGATGGTATTTAATACCCATATAACCACAGCACCTAATTCAACAGTTCTTGATTTTGTTGCCAAGCCAACATATGCCAACATAACTATATAAATAGTTACTAATTATAATTATAGGTTACTATCATTTCATGCTATATTTCACACCACCCATTAAAACATCCATACATATCCATAAATCATTTATGAAGAAAACATCAAGAAAACTGCTATCATTATCATTACATAGCATCCCCCCCCCAAAAAAAAACAACTAAAACTAACTAAAACTAACGAACACGTGGTGAACACCGCCCAGCGCCAAGGAACAAAGACCATCTCGCAGAGGTTTCGCAGCTTGAAGAAGTCTCCGCCACCACCCAGGATGCGAATGGCGAATTCCAAGCCACACCAAATCCTGCGATCAAACGCCGTTGTAAAAACAGGAGCTCCGGTTCTCCGATTTTGGTTGCTTAAAAGAAAAACGACTAGTTGGATATTACATGATATTACTGTGTATATATATATATATATTATGATACTTGGTCTCACTCAAGGCTCAGGATATATTCACAATATCGATCATACGAGTGAGATGTTTACCACAAGAAAAGTTGTCGGATCTCACCGGAAGAACATGAGACTGAAACTAAATTTTCCCATATGCGAACCATGGTGCTGGAATATGAATCCCAACATTTACCCCATCAATGACCCAGTCATGTAGGTAAATATACTAGCACCATGGAGCATATGGGTTTAAACAACCAAGACAGAGATGGTTAGCTCAGAGAAAAACGGATGGTCTTTGTGTTTGAAAAATGGAATTCAAGCCAATTTAAGCCAATTCAAAACGTCCAACACGTTTTTTTCTCCATGGGGGTTTCGAAAAAATGGGGTGATCCCCAATTCACCGCATTGGATTTTCAACATGTTTCAATACTACCAGCTGGTAAACATACAAACATCTATGGAACATCACCATTTTGTAGCTTGTTAAATCAGCTATTTCGACTGGGCCATGTTCAATAGCTTTGTGTATGTTTACCAGAGGGTAGAAATTGTTGATTTACCTATTATTAAACCATATTAAACCATATCAATCCTATTAAAAAATGGTGTGTAACGACTTGCTGATTTTTCGTGTTTTAGTCAAGAGGCAGAAAACCCACTCGACACCAAAAGAAGGGCTCTGCCAGAGATTCCTCGGTATCCAGCTGAATCCACAGTCTACAAGAAAGCAATGATTTAATGGGAATATCCAATGGATCAATGGGAATTCATGGGGTTTTGGGAATTCCAATCTATCTGAGACCTAGAGTTTTTTCCATGTCTTTTCAACGTTTTCCCAATGGTTTAATGGGAATTTATGGGATTTATGGTGATTTGTAGGGGTCTAACCAGCAAACATGGGGATGTTGAATGACGGTAATATACGTTAATGGATATACTGACCCTCTGGTAGTCAAAGATAGGTTGCTGGAAAATCCCCCATTTAGTTCGGCGATTTTCCCGGCTATAAACTTCCATTTACTTCAGGGAATTTCCAACCAGCCACATTTGATTACCGGAGGGTAATGGAAATATAATTGGAATATAATGGGAGCACATAGAGGTTAGATGACTCTGGCTGAATTTCAACATATTTTACCAACCTGAAATAGAGTTATATAATGTTATATATTGGGATGATTCCCCCAACCATAATCTATCCTGACCTCTCGGTGTCTGCAGAAAATTGAGCATCTTCACTCCGGTCACGAGTAACTCAAGGTTTGGTCAGACACCCGACCAAATCATGCGGCAAAAACCTGATGTCTAAAAGTATACTAAGATCAACCTAAGATCTACTAAGCACATATTTTGAATATATCATGAAAAAACATGGATCATAAACCCACCAAGCAGCCAAAGCTAGTCAATTCATTGTCAATTACCTTGTGTTCGCAGCCTTAACTATGCATTAACAAAGAATTCATCAACCATGTTGTTCACATTTAAAGAACCATGCTAGCAACAAAAATAGTTTTTCATCCGCCCAGATTCATTGCTCCCAAAGTCCACTTCCACACCAATGTACCTTGGACGCAACGGAAACATAGTAAGAGGTATATCAGGTGCTGGGTCGTGAGTCATACCCCTACCATCCACCTGCTACCACAGGATCCCGCAAGAACTGGCTCATTTGATTCGCTACTGACATTCAGACAGCAAAAGTTGGTCAATCTATTGAAGGCTCTGGGACATATTATGGGACAATAGCATATTTAGCAATTTCAAAAAAATACCATCATGAACCATCCTATTATGGTACCAAGACATGCACATACTCCTCTTCTTGGCGTAGAAATTGCTTTGGAAAATCCAACATCCATATGGGGGGGCTTCCTAAAATGGGGGGCTTGCCCAAGTCACCATGGGTGTCAAAAACTGAAAAAATGGTCGAATGACAACTGGATGATTCGGAAAAGGCCCTATGACTTAGGAACCATCCTTTTTTTCTCAATACTTAGGAAACCTTATCCATTTATAGACAAAGAGACACATGTTTCAATGAACATGTTTTTGGTTGGTGGTTTCAACCTACCCCTCTGAAAAAACATGAGTTCGTCAGTTGGGATGATGAAATTCCCAATATGTGGAAAAGTCATAATCCATTCATGTTCCAGTCGCCACCAACCAGATATATTGTTATTCCAATGATTAACCATAGAATAACCATAGATTAACCAGGAAAATTCCATGGTTCCAGTCACCCCCAAGCAGATAGCCATTGATCACCATTAATCATTAATAAGCATTAATCATCATTAACCATAGATTAAGCAATTGTATCCCAAGACAACATAGCCGCAGACCTGGCGGCTCTGTGAAAGTGAAATCACTCGGAATTTGTCGCTGCGATGCTTAGAGCTGCGATGATGGAAATCTCATTGACTTGACGTCCCAACATGAGCAAACTAGAATCGCCTCAACTCACATATATATAATTATCATTATGTATGTATATATAATTATATACATTATATGACTGGGTAAGAATCATGAAACATTTTAGCATCTTGGCATTCCCCTATAATTATTTAACTTCACCATCGCTGAGTTTTTTTGTGGGCCGAGACACACGAGATTGCAGAAGACCACCAAGTCACAGGTCAGGGCGAACAGGGTGTCGCTCGCGATGCGGTGGAACAACGGGATCCCCGGCATCGAAACGGCTCCGTTTCGACGGAAAAGGATCTAGAAATGGTGCATGTTCCAGTCATATTAGGTTTAAAAACCCGGCCTGGTAAACATACAAAAAGCTATTGAAAATGGCCATTGATAGGTTGATTTACCCATTGAAAGTGGTGGATCTTTCCATAGTTATGTGACAGTTTACCAGAGGGTAGTTTATGATGGAGGTTTTTGGGAGGACATGTATAGAGATGAATACTCAGCTCTTCGCGTTTCTATGTGACGGGAAGGCATCGTCGGCATTGCTAGCGCGAATACGTTGCGGTGATTTTTGTTGGTGTCCAGTCTTCTGAATGCAACAAACTGTTTCTAGAAGAACCTCCCAAAAACAGGATCAATTGGCATGTGCTGACTGTGGTCTTCTACCATTCATGATGGCGGAAGGAAGCCAGCAAACAAGGACCCAATTCGATCCATGACAATCAACCATGGCTTCTTCAGTGTTTCCAAACGTCTGTACTTGAAAGCCAAAAAACTGCGCACGAAAAGTCACGCAAAACCCATGTAAACTAAAGAACAATGACAACGGGGATATGATGTTTGTGGCAGCCAGCATCTGGCAAAATTGCAAAGCTCTTGGCTGGCGAAGTTTTTCCAGCTTTGTCTTTTTGGATGTCTTTGGATCATACCAGTTTGCCAAAATCTTTGCTACCATTATCTTTACTGTCTTTGGTTCCTTCTGAAATATCCACACAGTTTTCTCTGCCTGTTTTCCACAAAGCTATGGAAGAGGGGAAGGAAAAAGGGTATGTGGCTTTGTTGCGTTCTCTCACAAAAGTTCTATCATATGCTGGGTTCCATATGTTCAGTTCATCTTGAAACCAAAAGACGTCACAACGAATGACGTACAGTAGAGTAGTCGTTTTTGTCATCAAATGGTGGTTTATAATGGAAAACCCTATGAAAATGCATGATTTAGGGGTAGCTCCATGACTTATAGGAAACCCCCTTAAATGGACGAAAACGAACACGACGTTTTAACACAGCACAGCAGGCACAGCAGGTCGTTTCCCAGGCACCGAACAGCAGCGCCAAAGTGCTTGCCTTTGATGAACAACGGGAACCACCAGATGAAAATTCTGAGAATCTGACATCATTACCCAGATGCTCCATGTATAGTAAGTATATTTACCTACATGACTGGGTCATTTATATTCATTTATGGGGCAAATGTTGGGATTCATATTCCAGCACCATGGGTTGCATATGGGTCATGAAATTCATGGTGAAAAACACTCATAATAACATTCATATTTACATTCTGACATAATAACTTCATATCACATAATCTGACATCATCTGACACTTAACCATAGAATGTATCATACCCCATAGGATCCATGTATGGTATATATGCTAACATTTGGGGTATATTGATGGTAAATGTTACCATATATATCCATATATGGCATACATGGATCCTATGGGTAAAGTTCTTGGCACAATTCATCAAGTGGATCGCTCACGTTGCCTCACATTGCTGCCAAAGAGCAACCGAGATCTCGACTTCCTGCAGCAAGTGGTGCAGGGTACTCCGTAAATGGTACCTCCGCCCGGGCTGGACACCACGTGGTCATGGATTGATAGGTTAAGTTGAAGTCAACAAACAGAGGCGCTTTTTGAACTACCACTACATTCACCAACTTCATCTGGTTGGTGGTTTCAACCTACCCCACTGAAAAATGATGGAGTTAAAGTCAGTTGGGATTATGAAATTCCCAATCTATGGGAAGTCATAAAATTCCATGGTTCCAAACCACCAACCAGTAATCATTGATTATATTGTTATTCCCATTATTAACCATAGATTAACCATAGATTAACCATAGATTAACCATAGATTAACCATAGATTAACCATAGATTAACCAGATTCAATAGCTATTAATCTATGGGATTGCTTCACAGGGTTTGACTGGGGAGAATTTCTAAGTTGCGAGAACTGAATGGACCAAGGTGAATCTGATGGTTTCCGCGTCTGAGTTAGTCGGCCCCCTCGAAAACGAAGGGACTCCCTACCCTCTGGTAATTTAACAGAAAAAACTATTGAACATGGCCATAGAAATAGGTTGATTTACTAAACATGGTGATTTTCTACAGCCATGTTAGTTTACCAGAGGGTGCCAATTCCCACATTCTGCTTCAATTTTCGTTGAAAGATGTTGTTTCTCATGTTGTTTCTAATGTTGTTTCTACCCTCTGGTAAACTAACATAACTATGGAAAATCACCATGTTTAATGGGAAAACTAACTGGATGTGGGTCAAAATGGAAGACCTAGGGGACCACAGATGTTAGTCTAGTTTCGTATTAACCATCCAATTATTGGGGTACCTAAGTTTGACCCATACCCAACTATAAATTGCAATTTTCAATAGCTATGTTAGTTTACCAGGCCGGGTACCTCAGCTTGAGATTTCCACCTTTGTTATCCACCTTTCTTATCCACCTGTGGATCACCAGTCGTTTCACCCAACGTGCTTCCCCCAGTCGGCCAGTCTTTGCTGGTGGTTTTGAAAACCCCAGTTCGATATATCCCCATGGCTATGTGCTATGGTCAAAACATGGTTTAAAAAAAAAAAAAAGGTTTATGGTCATCCATCCCACAATGGGAATCCAAACATAATCTGGTTGGTGGTTTCAACCCCCTGAAAAATATGAAAGTCAGATTGGATCATCATCCCAACGACATTGGGGAAGTCATAAAATTCCATGGTTCCAAACCACCAACCAGTAATCATTGATTATATTGTTATTCCCATTATTAACCATAGATTAACCATAGATTAACCAGATTCATAGGTATGGTATATCAATCCCCATGACTCTATTGATGACTGGCTAAATCATCCAGCTTTCGACGGCAAGACCCTGAGGTTTGCCGGGACTTGCAACACAGGTCCGGGCAAGCCAAAATGAAGAAGAAGATGATTATTATTATTGTTATCATTATTGTCATTATTGTTATTATGTGTATATACACGATATAATATGATATTATTATATATTATATATATATAATAATAGTTCTTATTATTGTTAATTAGTATTATTAATATTATGATTATTGTTATTTCTTTTGATATCTTTTTGAAAGCCTATAATTATAAGAAACCTTAGTCATTGTAGGGTTGATTGTTTCATGGAGCCGGGGGATTTTGATATCTTCTTGAAAACCTCTAAGAAACCCTAATGACTGTATGGTTAATTCCATGTGATATGTAGAATCGACATGTTCTGGTTATATGATATGTAGCAACATTTTATTAGCATCGTTTCGTAATGGGAAACCAACGGATGTACATTTCTGGTTGGTAATTGCTCACTTGTTGTAATTTGATTGAGTAGCCGTCCAGCTATACTTATACTTATACTGCTCATCATGCATAATATGAGCCATCTAATTGCAGTTGTAATCCAATTCACGTAAATGATATACCATAAACCACCCCACTTGTAAATAAAGCGACGATTCCATTCTATCCAAATATTGAATCAAAACTATTCTGGCAGTGTTGTCTATATTTTGCCAGCTACCCATGTAGCAAATGTCAGTTAAACTCTTCTTCCCACACCAATCCCAACATTTTTCGTCGTGGTACATGGCCGCGTCGCCGGCCACAGTGGCCACAGTCCTGTAGCGCGCAACCTGGCGATTTCACCATTTAAGGTTTATGTTGGTTTCTATTTGGGTTATACCCTCTGGTCAATGGGAATTTCAGGATCCTAAAATGGAGGTACTGTACCATATAAGGCCATATTTTGTGGTGATATTCCCTTACATAGGCCTTATATAGGCCTTATACATGGTAGGTACCTCCAATTTAGGTTTTCTGAAATGGCCATTGATCTGGTTATTTGTTACATAACAAAACTGGTGATGGTTTGCCGAACTTTAAAATGGTGATTTTCCATGGCTATGTTAAATAACCAATGGTAAATATATTTGGGTTATACCCTCTGGTTATTTGTTACATGTTACATAGCCATGGTATAGATGACCCATAGAAATAGATGATTTTCCCAGCTAGAAACCTCCATTTATAAGGGATTTTCCATGGCTATGTTAAATAACCATAGAGTATACATAAAAGGAGGTTTCCACATAAATATACACCCATATATATATATATAACCCAAACAACCAAATATAATGGGTTTATATAAGCCCAACTATTATGAGTTATAACATCAGATATATCTTCACTATAAAAAATGAATATAAATATAGGATAATATAGGGGTTATCATCCATAATATATCATCAAATTTGGATTATAGATATGGATGAGTTTCCATAGTCATGGGGATACCCCCAAAAACGCTGGATGTTTTATTGGAAAATACCATTGAAATGCATGAGAACGACGGGGGCCTCCGTTTCGACTTGGGGATCAACTATCAACTGGTGGATTTCGCTGGCCCATCCACAGTATGGAGGAACTATGGTGATTTAGAGTTTTACCCATTTTAACTGGAGAAAAAAACATTTACCATCTGGTCATTTAACATATAATAGCCATGGAAAATCACCATGTTTAATAGGAACACAATCTATTTCTATGGGCCATTTCCCATGGCTATGTAACAAATAACCAGAGGGTAACAGAAAAAAAACAAGGTGATTTCGGGGAATACACCCTTTTTATGATCTGCAAATTCGCATCTTCCCCCCGCCGGCCATGGACAGGAACTTGATGAAGTTATCCAACTGCCTGAGCCGGCGATGACATCGTAAGATCACTGAGCCAACCAGCGGTAGAGCGGCAGATTTGGTGATTTAAAGATGGTGGTTTCCTAAGTCATGGGGGTACCTCCAAATCATCAATTTTAATGGGATTTTCCATTATACACCAGAAACGCCCATATTCAAGGTGTGGTTGTTTGTTTTGCAACATATACATTCCAAAGGTAAAAACCAAATCAGCTGATGATAATGATCATCAAAGAGAATTAGTAGTATCAGACCACTAGTGGCTGTTTACATAATAATTATGTTCTATACAAAGCAGCCGGCCAGAGCATTTTTTTAGAACATCTCCAGCAGAAATTGCCTTGAAATGTCCTGCATGTTTTGAAAAAAGCAGGCCATCTGCTACCAAGCAACTTGTACAGGTCCAAATAATGTTGTTGAACCTGCAGGTGCCATCAATTGTCATCAGCTGTCTCTGTTCTCTGATTTTTTTGAAGTCAAAATCGACTGAGACTCAAACAAAAATATGCGGGGCCAAGAATTATCATCTGGTTATGACTAACATAGCCATGGAAAATCACCATGTTTAAGAACGGTAAACCATCTATTTCGATTAGGGCCATCTATACCATGGCTATGTAACAGTCATAACCCGAGGGTATCATGAACTGGCCATGAGTCAAAACCATGGCACCCCAGAAGCCCTAAAGCACCTGGTGGATGGTTCTTCCCCAATCATATGGTACTAATAACCCATCATGGTAAAATTTTAGAATGGTTATTATTTCCTCATTCATATGGGCCACGGTCAATATTTGGCATGTAGCTCCAAGTCATCAATTTTTGAAGAGTGTATTATTGTTTTTCACGTTTTGGTAAATATAAGCAAATGTTATCGTTTTATCGTTTTCCAAGCCCCAGCTCAATTTCAAAAAAAATAAGATGTCTCGAATACTACTCCCCACTAACCGAAATTTTGGCTGTAGCTCATATGGTCATATTCAAATCTGCTCAATGGATGATTCTCCCCCCCATAGCATAATCATCCATTAACCATATCTTGATATTTTTAGGGAATAATGACCATTATTGACCAATACGGCCAATACGGTAATATGAAAATATGGTCATCATTTCCCCCATTCACATGGCAATATCATAATATGATATGGTAATCACCAATTATACAATATTAACCAATACATACACATTATCACATATATTGGTCCATACATATAGCCGTATTATCACTATATATATATATACTGACTATAATGAATGGCCAGACTTTGTATATATCATACACTATATCAGAACCAGGGATTATTACGATATCTTACCTACAGCATGGTAATATTCCATGATCATCAAACCTCCATGAATTGGCCATACAAAAAAATATACATGTACTAATATGTATATACCCTCTGGTTATTTAACATAGCCATGGAAAATTGCTCATTTATAGATGGTTTACTTATAAACAATGGTGGATCTTTCCATGGCTATGTTAGTCATAACCAGATGGTATATATATATATAATACGGAGGTTTCCTGAACTAGGGATACCGCCGGGATACCCCCAGTTCTCATCCAGCCATCATGTTCGGATTTTCCATGAAATAAACCATCCAGCTATCCCATAGGATCCATGGTGCTGCTATATATGCTAACATTGGGGGATATATTGATGGTAATTGTTACCATATATAGCATACATGGATCCTATGGGTTAGGGTACCCCCATTTCTGGAAACTCCCGCAGCACCTCACGGGATTTCTCGGAGCGGAAGAGCTCGTGCACGCCACTGGCCTCGTCGTCGCTGCTGCCACTTTTGCGCGCGACCCGGCGACCCGGCGACCGAGTCGACTGAGGAAGCGAAAAACAGAAGAAAATACCATGAATTTTCATCTGAATTTCCATCATCCATGACTTTTCATGTTGCAGTTTATGATCTGCTTTGATAGAGTATGGATCACGAAATGGATTTAATATATCTGGAAGATTTGCCCATGGGTTTTGTCGTATATACTCCTAAATGTAGCTAAATGTTTTTCTGAATATCAATGGTGATTATCAATGAATTTTCTTAAATTCTAGTGAATATTCAAGTTCCATATGGGGGGTTCATGAATGTTGGTGTTCGAGGCCACCATGGCTTTCAATACTAAAATGATCTCATCCATGTCTCATGGATGATTCAGGGGACCCCCATTTTTTGGAAAAAAAACATATGTGGCTATGGAGGATTTGGAACTATTATGGTGATTTGTTGATGTTTACCCATTTTAAATGGAGAAAAAAACATTTACCCTCTGGTAATTTAACATAGCTATGGAAAATCACCATTTTTAATGGGTAAATCCACTAGAAATGACCATTTTCAATAGCTATGTTAGTTTACCAGAGGGTATATGGTTTGCCAAAAACAAGCCAAACAACCCTTTTCAGAAGAAACAATAATTAGACATCAGCTCTAAATGTATTGAAGAAGATTGAATATGTATCAACAGCTGCCCTAGAAATGGCCCAAATGTAGGTAAATATAGCATACATAATCATACATGGAGCATATGGGTATTGCAAAAAAATCCAATGTTTTGCCAAATCCCCAAAAAAAGATAGAAAAGAACAATCCTACCATAATAGTGATCAATCACTTTTCGCTTTCTTTTGAGGGGACCGTACACTTTCCATTAGATAATCCCAGTATATGCTCCTTATCCCATTATAATCCCACTATATTTCCTTTCCCATTATATTTCCCATTATTTTCCCATTATATAATCCTGGAAAATAGTCCATTCCATCCCATTTTAAGCCCTATTATAATATCCCTATTATTGATTATGTATGATATATGGTAATATCCTTCCTGATCAGTCACTTTTCCATTTTTTTGGGGGAAGTACTATAGGGATTACAATAGGATTGCAATAGGATTACGATGAGATATTGAAGATAATAATAATAGATAGTCATGTATCAGAATAGATAATAACAGATTATATTGGAAACACTATGATCTATAATCATCCATAATAATCCATAACCATAATAGGAAACATTATGATCTATATTAAATCATCCATTAAAAAACATATCATGATATAATCTATATATTATCTACATTACAATAAACAATCTACCATTAACACTATGATCTATAATTGTAGATCCAGCAATAGAGAAAATATCATATCATAGATTTATAGCTAATAATAATGATAGATCCATCATATTCTATAGAATCCCCTTTTGTCAAATATATAGTGATAAAAAAATACTTTACTTCGTGTGATCCCCACCATGACATTTATACATGTTCTTACTGGCACATCTTCTGGCATTCTATCTGACATATCTTCTGACATTCTATTTGGCATTCTATCTGGCATATCTTCTGGCATATCTTCTGGCATTCTATCTGGCAAATCTTCTGGCATTCTATCTGGCATATCTTCTGGCATTCTATCTGACATATCTTCTGGCATTCTATCTGGCATTCTATCTGGCATATCTTCTGGCATATATTCTGACATATCTTCTGGCATTCTATCTGGCATTCTATCTGGCATTCTATCTGGCATATCTTCTGGAATATCTTCTGGCATATCTATCTGGCATATCTTCTGGCATATTTTCTGGCATTCTACCTGGCAAATCTTCTGGCACTCTATCTGACATTTTATCTTCCTACATGAGGTCCGGCAGGGAACACTTGGCGTGGATACTCGCGGTTGAGGTCCGGCAGGGAACACTGGGCGTGGATGGTCGTGGTTGAGGTCCGGCAGGGAACACTGGGCGGGGATGGTCGTGGTTGAGGTCCGGCAGGGAACACTGGGCGTGGATACTCGCGGTTGAGGTCCGGCAGGGAACACTGTGCGTCGAGGGTCGTGGTTGAGGTCCGGCAGGGCACACTGACGTGGATGGTCGTGGTTGAGGTCCGGCAGGGCACACTGACATGGATCGCAGTGGAGCAAGAGGAGGAGGAGGAGGAGGAGGACAACGAGAGGAGGAGGACGACGAGAGGAGGAGGAGAGGAGGAGGAGAGGAGGAGGAGGAGGAGAAGGCAACTTAGATAAAATCTAACAACCCTCACCTGGCAGGTGGGGAACAAGAAAAACTATAAAATATTACCTTCGAAACCATTTCTATAGAGTAGTCTGTAATCATTGGTAATAATCCATAGATCTATAGATAATAACACTAGATCTAAAATATTCTATTTTAGACTATAGATCTACCTATTATTATCTAAAATATTTTATAATAGGAGATCCTATGATATTGTTGAGACTTCAATTATCTATTATTATCTAAAAATCTATCTAAAATAGTCTATAAAAATATTCTATTCTGGTTGGTGGTTTCAACCCCTTGAAAAATACTAGTCAGTTGGGATGATTCCCAATATATGGAAAGTCATAGAACATGTTCCAAACCACCAACCAGTCATTAAAGTCCAAGATCCCAAACCCAAATTTAGGGATCTGGATATGTATATATATATATACACAGTATATATATATATGGTTGGTGGTTTTCACCATTTTGAAAAATATTAGTCAATGGGAAGGATTATCCCATATATTATGGACAGAAAAAAATCATTGAAACCACCAACCAGTATAGTATTCCCTATGAATTTTGCAACTTCCAGGCCCTCCGGCCGCGCTGAGCTTCTCTTCTCCGTCCACAGAATCGACCCAGGCGTGACGGAGCCTGGGCTTATGGGATGTAAGACATGGGCGGCCTGAGCCTGGGCGGAATTCATGGTGAATCATGGCGAATTCAGGAGTTCATAAAGACATTTATCAACGCTTAATATACCCTCTGGTTATTTAACATAGCCATGGTATAGATGGCCCATTGAAATAGAGGATTTTCCCAGCTAGAACTCTCCATTTATGGTTGGGATTTTCCATGGCTATGTTAAATAACCAGATGGTAGATCATTAATTCCTGAAAATACTTAAGTTGCACCATTCTAACCCCAATGAACCCCCATGACTTACAGTTGCATCACTGTATGTCATGCAACCACCATGAAAACCATAGCAATTACCCTGCAACCCCCACAAACCCTCCGGCTTTTGGACCGAGGAACTCCAACCAAAGGTCCAGCAACTTTGTCCGACCTTCGATTGGTGAAACTTGCAAGACATGACATGCTGTTCTAACGTGCCATACTTTCCGCTTGAAATCAAAATCCTGATGATCCTGCCACACCTGCAACCATGCCACGCCTGCAACCATGCCACTGGCATGTGGGGAAGACTACCTAGGTTTCACTACACCTCATCAAAAAATTGTCATTTTGACCCTGAAACCAAACTTCGAGATATATTTATGCAGTTAGTATATCACTGAACTCTACCTCATTCTCGATATAGTTATTTCATGTTATTTATTTACTGGTTGGTGGTATACCTACCCCTCTGAAAAATGATGGAGTTCGTCAGTTGAACATTATTCTTCCCAATATGATGGGAAAGTCATGTCATCCATTCATGTTCCAGTCACCACCAACCAGATATATTGTTATTCCAATGATTAACCATGATTAACCATAGATTAACCATAGATTAACCAGGAAGATTCCATGGTTCCAGTCACCACCAACCAGTAACGAGGCCATTTCTTTAGCCTCATCCTGCAGAGCCATCAGCAGGCATCACCGAGCCTCGTAGAGCTGGACGATCACTTTGAACGCCCCAGAAGTCCTTGAAATGATGTGACTGCAATAACCTCAGCGACCGCTGAAAAAATACATAAATTTAGGGTCCATAAATTTACAGTAGGCCCCAAGAATTTTGAAATCTATGGGTCTAGATACTGTAGCTCCAAAACAAAAAAAAAACTGACAACTAGTCCAAGGAAAGTCTGGTGAGTCTGGTACTGTTTGATGGCATGTGCAGGGGACCGAGTAATTATCCATTCCCCCAAATCTGGTAAATCCAATAGTTACTGGAATGTGGTTCTGTTTTAACCCGCCATAACTTTGGTTTATCGTTGGGTTTGCCAGTTTGTCAGAAGAAACATTACCCAAAGACACGCCAAAGAAAAGCAATTGTTCCTCCTCCCTAATATGTATATATATATATGTATACATAAACATAATATATACTTATATATGTACACATATATTTATATATAAACATATAATATGTAATCTGTAAAATATATATTTAATACTCCTCCAGAATCCTTGGTTTATACCGGATCTTTCCCAAAGATCCCGTCGTGGCCAGGAGGCTCATGCAGGATACGGCCACAGTCCGACTCCCAGAGCCTCAAAACCATCGTTTTCTTGGTGATATATCGAAGTAACAACAAAAAAAAGCTGGTTATATATAGTTGATATATATATATAATGGTTGATATATATAATGGTTGATATATCATGGTTACAAGTAAAAACACCAACTTGATTAATGATAGTTGATATATATATATATATATATATTATATATATATAGTGGGGTTGATAGTAGATATATCCAACTGGTCATTATGGTTGACCATCAACCATCATGAAAATCAACCATCATTCACCATCATGAAAATCAACCATCATCAAGAATCATGGTTAATAAATGGTTAAAACGGTTGATTAATGATGGTTGATAATGCTTGAAAAGGGTTCATGATGGCTGAAAATGGATAATAATGGTCAAGAATGGTTGATCATGGCATATCATGGCTATCATCTGGTAAATTAACAGCTGGACCCTGAAAATCACCCCCTATTTTTAAACAACTCGTCCCCGATGAATGCCAGGGTCTATGTTAATTTACTGGAGGGAAATTCCCCATGAAATCCCATTGAAATCCCCATAATCTGCTGAATGTTCATGCTAAACACTAAGGTTACTGTCAAAGTGGGATTGAAACTGATGTCAAAGAATCTGATTCGCATGATGCGGATGATGAGTCAGCCTCCTTCTAGATTGAAGTCTATGAGTCTACGAGTCATATCAAAACGAGGTATCCTCCTCCAAATCGGAAGGGGAAGCGCAATGATGTCAACGGGAAATAGATAGTAATAGTACGCAAGAGTAGTATGCTACAACATGCTCAACAGTGTTCAACTGTGACAAGGACGACACAGCATTACAAGCCTTACACGACGTGAGTGACACTGAGTGGATAACATGAAAGTAACGTTCGGCTTTTGACAACCATTCTGTTTTATGTTTACTCAGCCCGCCAATATTCTACGGTTCCGCTGAAGTGGTAACACACACCCATATGTTCCATGTATGGAACATTTACCTGCATTTACCCCAAAAATCACCCAAATGTAGGCAAATATTCCATACATGGAGCATCTGGGACATAATAAGCCACATGACATTTCGAAACAAATGCCAAACATAGGTGCTTTTTGATGTTTCTCTTTGCCTCTAGAGCAGAAAAAAACATTGCTTCAATACGCTCACGACCCAGCAACGACCCAGCAACGCACTTTTGTGGCAACGCACACACGGTGCGCTGGCCACGGCCACGGCCCTCAAACAATCTACCCAATCCCTCTGCGCTCAGGAGGATCTAGGTCAAAAGCTGCTACCCCAAGAGCTTGCTTTGAAGCGATCTTGAAATAAACATGACAAGACTGCAAACCAATCCGTTGGGTCATTTGCGTGGCAAATTGGACCCTGTCTCAGAAACCCCATTGCATCTCAGCGCGTCAAAGCTCACGACACAGTAAGGTGCCAAGTGTAATGCTTCCTGGACAAGCTGTGCAATGCGGGAACAGGACAAACAGCTTTGGGGCTTTTTGCGTTTACCATAATATTGTGGTTTTCCACATATCTATTCATCAAGCAATCAGTAAAATATAGACATATAGATATACCCCATAAACTAACATAAGTGTGGAAAATCACAATTTTTCCATTTTTAATTGGTAAATCAACTATACTATAAATGGCCATGTTCACTATGTTAAATTACCAGAGGGTACAATTTCTGACACTCCATTGAGTTATGGGATAGACGACTAGTCACTGAAATGCATCCAGCATCCACTTTCATTTGTGGATGACTTCAGGTATCTTAAATGATTAAGTCAAGCTCATTGCGTTGCACTTTAGTTGGTGATGTACCATGTGAACTATGTACGTGTTTCGTTGGTGGTTTCAACCTGATAAGCATGCTCGTCTGTTGGGAACATCAACCCAGGCCAAAATGGGCTGAATTCTAGTGGATCTCCCATGGCCATGATTGATTCCAGTGGCTATAGATGGGTACAGTCTGGTATATAAAGTACCCTCTGGTTATGTCAAAATAGCTATTGAAGCCATGGCCCTAATCGAAATAGTTGATTTACCGTTCTTAAAGATGGTGATTTTCCAGTTCGCTATGTAAACGTTTACCAGAGGGTATGTGCCATTAAGTGGATTATAATCCCATTACATTCCATTAAATCCTATTAAAAACCCATTAAACCCATTAAATGTATATATATATATAATCCATATACACAACCAGGTATGTTATATATAGTATCATAAACACATCACCCTTTAAAATGGAGTCTCCGGTGTCATGGCTGCCTAATAAATGGCCCATGGAAATCCCCGAACAAACAAATGGCCAATTTCATGGCATAGATACCCAAAAACCATGGGCATTTTTTGATGGAAGTTTTAAAACCATGATAAGGGAAACATGGTATAAATCATTGGAGGCTTTACACAAAAAAATAAACATTTTAAATCCCTTATCAATATGGAGGTTGTAAAGGGAAAATCATGTAATTTTGGGTGGCCCTGGTTGATTGCGAGATGGTAATCAAAATTAGTTGATTTGGGGACAATTACTTCAAGTCGGGATAAGACACAGAAGATGTTTCAAAGAACCAACCACTCACGTGTATCCTGATAGTCATCATCAAACATGTTCAGACCTTGCAATTCTATGCAATTCTGATGAGATCCAAACCTGTCCGAGAACACAAATTGACCAAAAGGCACCAGCAGAGTTTGGGTACAGCTGAAAATGCCCTAATTGGATTGTAAGTGCAATAAAATTAACGTGGAACCCCATTAGATAGGATCATATAGGCACATTCCACGAGGAAACACTATGTTTAACTCTTTTCGTGTTTCCAAGTCGATTTTCAGCGGACTTTCTAGAGTACAGAAATATGGTTCCTCTATGTTCCTCTCAAGTATCCATTGTGGTGAATTTGCTCGAATCTCAGGCACTAAGGGAAAGTCTTAACTGGAATTCATACTTTTCCGCATCAAACACAGGGGTTTCAACCGGAAACGGTCGCTTCAACGTTAACGCCCCATGAGTGAAAAGCCGTCGAGGCTCCAATCAGCACGCCTCTGTTGGTAACGTAGATCACCTCGGGTTGGTCGCTGATCTGAAAGGCAGCTTGGAAGTGGTTTCTGTGTAGAGACCAGCGGGTTTTAAGTACATAGAAGTCTTGACGTGTTTTTTTCATCTAAAATGTTTTTTTTGTTACAAAAAAACACGTATATTTCCTAAGAGTTAGTTATTCAAACAGGCCAGGATTTTAACCGACCGCTGTTGTGGTAGGATTTTGCGAATTCTATTCTTTCTGTTCTTTGGGTGTTCAAAGACATATGTTTAAACCCTTCAATATGTCCATCCCAATGCTCCTAAGTTTGAAATGACTGTTTTGCTTCATCTGGTTGATGATTGAGCCGATCCCCTGTCATTGGGACATCATCAAAATCGCATTTGAAACAACCAACCAGTCATCCAACTGTTGGACCTTGGATAGGTCGTTACTACATGTCTATATTAGATCTATAGAATCTATAGTATTACTCAATGTCGATTCATTTCCCTAGGCTTCTTGACTCTGGTTCCCACCTTGGACCGATCGAATCGCGGAAGTGATCATCCTCAAGTAGATCGACTCTACATTCTACATCATGGATTCTACCTTAGAAGTCAAAGGTTTAAACATTGAAGATCATTGAACTACTCTTCGGTCACGTTGCAAGCATGTTCTATCCAGCTGTCAGGATATGAGAACTTCAGTTATTTTTGGTCTTTTCGCGCTGCTTCGCGGTGGTTTCCCCAAGTTATCATTCAACACAAAAATGGTTTCAACCATGGAAAAAAACAGCAGTTTAACAGCACCATGTTCCAATCCCGTTACGCCGTTGGCACCGAGCTACACCTTGTTCCGACATCTTCATCAAGAGATAGGCATCTTTCACCGTGTGTTCTGGTGAGATCCGAAGGGGATTGCCATCCACATAGGGCGGAATCGTTTCATCACTTGGAGCTTGAAATTCCACGTTCCTCACGGAAATGTTTGTTGGTGCCCCAGGAAACGTTAGCGAAGTTGGTTTATAACTAGGTCAACTATGGTTTATGCATTATAAATCGAGTTCATTTGTGAATTCAAATGTTAATAAACCAACTTGTAAGTTGGCACCACCATGTGAAGCTGGATTCAAAAAATCGTTCGCAATTCTTGGGATGAAAGCAATTACTATATGAAATCTATGAAGATCTCCTATCATCATAACACTACCACTGCCGCTCCAAGTCCCCGATCACCGGTGGTTTCAACCCTCCAACCACCGGTGTTTCCACGTTAAATTGGTCATAACTTGGCGATACACAAGCCGTGTTTTTTTTTTTAGCCATGTCATCTTGTTGGCACAGAAAATCCGCAATATATATATATAATAAGAAATATTAATATATATCATATTATATATATAATATATATATATATAATATATATATATATATATTATATTATATATAATATTCCCGTATCTTAAAACTCCCATAATATGTTGGTTTTTCAACTCCATTTTCCAAGCTGACAAAAAGTGGACGATTTTGAAAAGAGCGCTTTTTGGCCTTTTCGAGGCTCATGAGATCGATCTCCCGGCGCGGCGTTTCCCCATGTGGGTCGCAGGCTTTTAGGAGACGCAAGGCTTGTCCTCAGCACAGCTCTTGGTGATGTTTTTTTTCCCAAAAGTGAAGAGATATTATTTAAGGGATGATAACTTGGAAGAAAGTCCAACTATAGGGACATTATATATATAAGGACTATGTCTATATATTTCTAGTTCTTTCTTGCGGGGCGACGATACCTCAAGTTGGGATCTATACCCAGCCGGCCGATAGCCCACCTGTTCCCAGCGCCGGCAGATTGTCCCAAGAAAATACGATGGACATTGATGCACAAGTTCATAGCAACCACCAAAATGATGGACAATTATATATATGTATATGATTCTATATGCATATATACAGCAGTATGTATATCAACTACAAAAACTATATCATATATCAATATCAACTGAAAAAAGAACGTCAGCCGCGCAGTCCCTTCATTGCTGCACCGCCAAAACATCGACGCCAAAATCGATGCCTTTGCCGAGTGGCGCCGGGTCATGCAGCCCACCAGTAAGGCTTGATGCTTCGTCGCTGTCCAATCCAAAGGTCGAATGATGGGGAAGACCTCCCCATCTCCTGGTGGACGCTGACGGGATTGATTGATGTATAAGCCAACTTGGCCCGGGAAAAAAAACGCCACATGGATTTTTAGCTGATGGACCTTAAGATCTTTGCTTTTTGGGATGATAGTAGGTTTTAGATAGCTTTAGAATGCTTTAGATCTTTGATCAACAGCTTCTTTGGTGGATAATGTTAGATAATCAGTTGTTACTAGCTGGATGATATTCTTCTTTTCCGATTAGGTGGGGTTTCCAACCCCGAAAAACTCGTCCTGAATAGATACCCTCCGGTAATGGAATCCGTGGATTTCCACGTGCCATGTTTGATTCCCGGAGGGTATGTGCAATGGTCATCAATGGTCAAATATCTGGTAGATGATGGTAGATGGGGTAGGGTTATCCATCCGTATCTGAAATCCTTAATTACAGTGGATGCAATAAATCATTGGAAATCCCCCTACCATCCTCTTGTAATATCTTGTAATTATGGGAACCTCAATTCTTGAACCATGTTTCGACCCTTTTGACACATGGCTATGTACAAATAACTGGCCTATCTCGGTAAAGCGTCGAAAAAAAATCCCATCAGAACTGAAAAACACCAAACATATCGACCCAACTTGGCCTGATCGTTCTCCCCAAATTTCCCCAAACTCATCTTCCAGCACTGGTCAAGAGAAAAAAACATAAATACATGTATATCTCACTGAGTTTATCTAAAAAATATTTGAAAATAGCGCCAAAAATGGTTGAGCAATGTTGAGCATCATTTTCCAAACCGAAAAATGCCATGGCTGCCGTGGCTCTCTCCGTGACCAGTTTCAGCAAGTGTCGCAGGGTCAGCACTTGTGGCAGTGCGTCTGTCTCCAACCTAGGCGACTCACAGAGATATGTTGAGATTCCAAGATGTTCATCGGATGAAACTTGAATATGCGAATCACATGGCCCAGCAAAAAGGAAGTTGAAACAAGAACAAAATTCAGGAAGCCTTCAATGTTTGATGAAAAACATGCGAGCCGCCGTCAATAATTCCATGTCTTCGCCTGCCATTTGGAGTGGGCCCTATCTCTCACCTTGGTTTTGTACTTGTGAAGATGGAGGAACAAATCTGTGTAAGGAAAGGAAAGGGATCTATCTGTGGTCGCGGGCTAATTTTTCAACAAATTCGCTCACCAAATTATCGCTTTGGAGGGGCCCGCCCATTCGCTGCACGATGTGTGTGGTGCACTTTCCAAACACCAAGGGGAAAAAACATGATCTGCCATAATTTTGAGCATACCTCATCTGGTTGGTGGTTTCAGCCCCTCTGAAAAATATTAGTCAATTGAGATGATTATTCCCAATAGATGGAAAAATAACCAATGGTCCAAACCACCAACCAGTCATGTATTTCAAGCTCAATCTTGCCAATGAAATGGGCATGTGCATCACCCACCGAAAAAAAAAAAAACACATCCTGACGGAGTTTCCCGTCGCCTCGTCATGTATGCGAATTGCACAAAGTTTGTAGACAAATCATGATATGGCAGTGTGTCAAAACCTTGTACCCCTGGTGAACATCAAAATAGCTGGTAAATGGATGTTCATCCCCCTAAAAATGGTATTAATAGGTATTGATCCATACCCATATACGATGCATGGCATGCCATGTATGGAACATCTGGAAGAAAATCCGCCGCAAGATCTGCGCAAGAGCGCTGCCCACAAGATCCAAGGATTTGGAACCAGTTTCCAATGTTGGTTTTTGTTGATGCCAATGCAGCAAACTTAAGGTACCCTCTGGTAAACTAACATAGCGAATTGGAAAATCACCATTTTTAATAGGTAAACCATCTATAAATGGGCTATTTTCCACAGCTATGTTAGTTTACCAGAGGGTAAGTCCCCATTTTTGGGACCTCGTGACATGTTGCTGGGTGTGTGTATATATCGAATAGACTAATAGACATCCGAAAAAACTGTATCCCACAACATGTCGAACATGTCAATATTTCAGGAAGAGTCCCCCTCATGGGTTTTGTAACATTCATAACCCGATCTAACTAGAGTCTCCCTGGAATAGAAACACCGGTCCACCTAATTATAAATCAAATTACCTATCGTTCAGTTGAAGATCAATCTGCATTTTTCTCAGTGAAGTCAGCAGTTTTTGGGTTACCTAGACCATCAAAACAATACAAAAATTATAGGGTACAACACCAACTTTTATGGCTACAAATGGAGGGTCTAGGTAGATAAACCACCCTTGCCGGGGTAAAACACCATATCTTTAGGGTCTACATTCTACATGATAAAAACAAAAAAAAATCCGCACGACAAACAATTGTGTCCGTTCTGCCGGAACGAGCGACTGGATTGGTTCCATCACCTTCATCACGGGCCATAAGGCTTCGGCCGAGAAGCCTAAGGCCTTGGAACTGAGGACTACTGAGGACAGCGCTCAGCTGCTCAGCCGAAAAAAAAAAACATGAAGAACAATTGATGTTTTTTTTGGGGGGAAATATGAGATTTTTTTTTTGTTTTGGGACATCTACGTTTTCCATAGGAAAATTCAATCACGATGTAATGACGCAATCATCATTTCTTCGGTTCGAACCATGTCTTTCAAGTCTTTCATGTTAGATCCCAGTGATTGATGGTGATTTCAATCTGCATTTGGGTTTGTTGGAAAATAGGGTACCCCGGTTGATTTTCAGTTGTCCCCACCTCATTAAAAGTGCTATCAGGTACAGAAACACGCATACAAATATCATCGTATTGGTTAAACAAACACCGTATATGCATTATTATGCATTGTTGGTTAAACCATGTTAAGCCGCTATTTATTGTTGCTTGAAACACAACTTTCCTGGTGACTCCACATTTTACCCTGTGGTAAACATACAAAATACATCAGGAAATTCACCATGCTTCATGATTTTCATGGGCAAATGGACTATTTCTATGACCATTTTCCAGTTCGCAAACTGCAAGCGTTTACCAGAGGCTAAATCCCATTAAGTGGATTATAATCCCATGAAACATTCCATATTAATCCCATTGAAATCCCAGAAAAAAAAACATTAAATGTATATAATCCATATGAAAATCCCATTGAACCCCCATTAAAATCCCATAAAATCCCATAAAATCCCATTAAATCCCATTAACATCCCATTAAAATCCCATGAAAAAACACGATTAAAACCAGCTTTTTATGCCTCCACTAAGCCGAAATCACCCCATTTCCATCGAGGCCACAGGGATTCCGCCCAGATCTTCGGCCGCCAAGGTGGAATCGAAGAAGGGCAGGGCAACTCGGTTCGCCGCCTGGGCTCGGCGCACGGGCAGCGTGAGTTGATCACGTTGGAGAAAAAGGGAGAAAATTCACGTGAATATGTCAGTTGAACATCATCTATATATCATATAGACATCATATAGACATATGTATGTATATATATATATATATACATACGTATATATATATATATAATGAATATATACACCTATATTTAGATTTGTTAATGAAGAGTTGAACGGATCTAAGCATCACTAAAAGACGGGTGATTACTTAAAATTAAACCATTTTATGGCGATAGTCTTATGAAACACAAGTATATGTTTTAGGGTTGCACAAGAATTGGGTGCATCCCAATTTACGCAGTCTATGTCAGTCTTGTGACAAGAAGGGTCCCCCATTTTGATTGGCGAAATATTACGTATTGATTGGACTTTTATATGGTGGATATATGAAAGCTTCCTAACCTGGTTGGTGGTTTCAACCCCTCTGAAAAATATGAGTTCGTCAGTTGGGATTATTCTTCTCAATATATGGGAAGTCATAATCCATTCATGTTCCAAACCACCAACCAGATATATTGGTATTCCAATGATTAACCATTATTAACCATAGATTAACCATAGATTAACCAGGAAAATTCCATGGTTCCAGTCACCACCGAGCAGTTAGCCATTGATCATCATTAATCATTAATAAGCATTAATCATCATTAACCAACATTAACCATTAATAACCCATTAATATCCCAACTATGGTTGGTGCTTCCATCAGTTCCATCACTTCCATCGTCCCAGATCCAAAAATCGTTCCGTGCAGGTCACGAAAATGGCCACCAGTGCTGAAGCGCACAGGGGCCTGCGAAGGCTGCGCTTTTTGTGGTGCCAATTTTTCACCACTTTTCCACATCCCAGATGCTCCATGGTGCTGGAATATGTATACCTATATTTACCCCAAAAATCACCCAAATGTAGGCAAATATTCCAGCAGCATGGAGCATCTGGGCATGGTGATTCTGAATGATATTCTATGAATGGACCAATGGAGGATTAAATCATGAACACATGGTTGTTTTATTGGGTTTAACCCTGGGGGATGTCGTTTTGCAAACCAACTTAAAACTAGTGCATGATATAAAACCAAAAACATGGGCTTTTGCCATCTTGCATGGCAGTGCAGCAAAATTGGGGATTTCACCAACACAAATTGGTGGTAAAAGGGGATACAACTTACATGGGATGTATTACAAAGTACCATGGTGATCCCTAATGAACTTTGACTACTGAACCGCAAGTGACTAAGTTGGTTGAATGCACTAGATAGTGACTATAGGTATAGTCATAGATGATGTTAGATGGGGTGTTATAAACCAACTTAGCCAACTTAGTGCCCCGTAAGAGTGGTGGGTTCGATTACCAGGGGATCAGACGAAAAATGGTAAAACGGGTCCCTGTCGAGATGGATTGGCTACTCCGATCTATTCCCATAAAAATACAACAAATACAACACACATTTTAAGCAGAATTGCTGGCTTTGATTTTTACCCAGTTCTGTTGATTAAATCCACCTCTAGTTTTTTAATAAAACATACTCCACAGATGCAAGGCATTCCCAAACATGGTTCCTGAATTGTCGCAGGGGTGTGTCAATGTCCTGTTTCGGGGATTTGTTTCACAGGACTCGGGATTTAACAATTAGGATTTAACATCTCACATATTGATTAACTAAGTTCCTGTTGGAATATTTTTCACATAGTGTATATGCGTCATGTTTTACCAACATATTCCATAAATCCCAATTCTGTTGGTTAAATCCGATATTTGTCTAGTCTCCGTTGGAGATGACTAACCCCCTCCCTCTGTAGAGTTGTGGCTTCAATCCGTTGAAGTATCTTTGGATATCACCGTCTGGATTCCCAAACATCTAAAGATATCCTTAAATATTGGTCATATTGGTTTCATATAATGTAATATCTAAAGAATCTTGAATATGCTCAATATTTCCAACAATCTCTTAGATATTTTTGGACATGTCAAGGCTTCATGTGGCATGTTTTCCCGAGGAACAAGACGCTGTTGGGCAAGGTCAAGAGTTCGAAGACTGTGATGGCCATGGCAAACGTTCGACACACCCCCTGACGTTCGACATTTGAGGGCCATGGCCGCATGGCCATGGCTTTGGGATGGATTTCGATAGTATTTGTGTGATATTTCTATGATATTTCTATGGTATTTCCATGGTATTTCTATGATATTTCTATGATATTTCGATGGGATTACTATGGGATTTGGATCTTTTTCATGGCTGGTTGGTGGTTGGTATACCTACCACCCCCTCTGAAAAATGATGGATTTCGTCAGTCGGGATGATGATTCTTCCCAATATGATGGGAAAGTCATAATCCAGTCATGTTCCAAAGCACCAGGGATTTCATGGACTCGATGGAATATTTTGATGGAATCTTTATAGAGTACCCTCTGGTAAACTAACATAACTATTGAAAATTGCCATTTATAGTGGGTTTTCCCGTTAAAAATGGTGATTTTCCATAGCTATGTTAGTTTACCAGAGGGTAATGCGATTTTTAGTTAGATTCTATGGGATTTGTAAAAATGCAATATGAAAAGATGGGATTTCACGAACGTTATGCATGGAATATGACTTTTTTGAGGACCTAAGAATTTTTTGGAATGCGGACCAACAATGAGATACTTGATCTCATGGGATTTTTCAATGGAATCATAACTGACAATGGGATGATTTCGAATGGGACTATCATGCGATAATCTCCACAGGTCTATCGTTTCCTGGTTGGCTGGTGAATATTCAAGGTTGGGGATGTAAACATTATCATTCAAGTGTGACTAATAAACATGGGACTTATATATACATATGTGTATATATGTATATTTATATATATATGTATACATATGTATATATAATATATATAGTAGTATATTATATATATATGTGGGACCATTTATGGGGTGTTTCATATTGGGGGGATGGGATTACAAAAGGATAGCGTTGCTAATTGTTGGCTTTTGACATATCTGTTCCCCTTGTTGGTGATATTCATAATAATAATTGAGGTGCCCACTGTCCATGAAACAGAAGAGGGTCTGGTGGTGGAAAAACACAAGTTATCCACTACCAAAAAAACCTTTAAACTATTTTATAATATATTGCGTATATGTTAAATATATGTATGTATATATATACACACACATGTGCGGACATGATCCAACATGCAATGTATTCCTGATATGCTCCATAAATTAAAGGCTCTCTTGTCATTGCGTGGGTGATTTCATGAGTAGCTTGGCTGTGAAAGATGGGCGAATGGCACGAATGTCACTGTAACGATCGCAAGGTGAAATACCCTCCGGTAAACATACAAAAAGCTATAGAAAATGGCCCATTTATAGTGAGTTTTCCCATAAAAAATGGTGATTTTCCATGGTTATGTTAGTTTACCAGAGGGTAACTCATGTTCACTTGCCACCTCTGATCACTGGAGGGTACAACCCAGCCTACTTCCAGCCAACGTGTTTTCATTTCGTCCATAGTCCATCATTAGGTTGGACAAACAAAAGCAGCTCATATCCCAGTGATATGGAAACTACATTTACCCCAAAAATCACCCAAATGTAGGTAACTATTCCAGCACCATGGAGCATCTGGGATGGGTTGCTAACCGCTTACTATCCCGGATACAACTCTTGGATGCTACCCTCCAAGTGATTAACATAGATACTGTGGATTTGTCCTGATTGTTTTGCAAAAAAACCTGGAGGGTACATGGTGTGTTTAAGCGCTCCTTGGAAAAGCAATGTCCCAAGTATATCTACATTATATCCCAAGTATTACCTCATTCATTGTATTCCATTCATCTTGTGTTTTTACAACATTTTACAACCACATGTGCTAACCAGTTACTACAGATTCATCATCTAAGTGAGAATGTGACTGGCCCAAGGTTAGACGGTTAGTTGGCCCAGCCTAACGTCGACAGTTACATCCCCATGATATCCTCGTTCTCATCCGCATTCCACCATTTCTCGTGAATCCGCATAATTTTCTTCATGACCATCAGTTGAGTAAGCCTTTTTCTTAAAGCCCAATCCATGAAAAATCACAATGATATCCCATTCCCAATCAAATGACATCCCAATCCAATCAAAATGATATAAGCCAATTGGGATTTAAAGCCATATTAAGCCCAATCCATTAAATGACCATGATTTTTGATGGTGATATCCCATTCATCTCCATTAAAATCACAATCAAAAATCAGCATTCTATCCCAATCACATGTATTCACCATCAAAAATCACCATCAAAATCCCATGAACACATGGCCATTACCCTCTGGTTTTTACATATGGCCCAGTCGAAATAGTGGATTTACACATGAAAAATCATGGTAATCATGGTGATTTACAAAAAGCTATTGAACATGGCCCAGTCGAAATAGTGGATTTACCCATGAAAAATGGTGAATTTTGATAGCTATGTCAGCTATGTGGCTGTTTACCAGAAGGTACCCTCTGGTAATTTAACATAGCTATGGAAAATCACCATTTTTTAATGGGAAAATCCGCTATAACTGGCCATTTTCAATGGCTATGTTAACATAACCAGGCCGGGTAACCACTCTGAAACCTCCATCCGAGCGTCCGCGGTGAAGGCCGATGCGCCGATGATCGCGAAGCGCGCCAGCAGCGCGCCCTTCGCCTCCGTGACACCGGAGTCGGCGACGCCGGAGTCGGAGAGGAGGAGGTCCAGGAACCTTCACAGAGTCTTCAAGGGGGTTTACTCTGGTGATTCAATGCCCATATGCAACCCATGGTGCTAGTATATTTACCTACATGACTGGGTCATTTATGGGCTAAATGTTGGGATTCATATTCCAGCACCATGGAGCATATGGGATGGGATATAACATGGTTTAATCAACACAAATGGTGATGTCCTGGAAGTTCACCAAGCAAAAATGGGGATTTTTCATGGGAATTCACCAAGCAAAAATGGTGATTTCATATGATTTAATGGGTGTTTTTGTCCAATCAAAATGGTGATTTCATGGGGTTTAACCATGGGAATTGTTGAACCAACAAAAAAAGTGGGTTTTTGATGGCGATTCTAATGGAATCTGAATGGAATAATTAATACTTAATGGGATTAACCAAGCAACAATGGTGATTTAATGGAATTTAACCAACCAAAATGGAGATTTCATGGGGTTTAACATGGCTAAACTTTTTAACCATCGGTAAAGTGGCTAGCGGCTAGCCACTACGTACCCCCTCTTAGCCACTTAAGTAGGAGGGGTGATGTTTAACCAACCAAGAATGACATATTAATGGCATATTGGTACCCGCAACGGTGTCATCAAATGTGGCGATTGCAGGGATATCCATCAACTAAAAGGAGGTTTCTAGCTTGAAAAAAACATATCTCCCTCTCTCTCTCTCTATATATATATATATGTACAGCAAATGGTGGTGTTTTCGAGCTAGTCATGTTTGATTACCGAAAAAGGTATTTTGTGGGGTTAAAAAAACATGGGAAAACTATTGGCGAAACTATTGGGGATTTGACCAAGAAAAATATGGTGCTTGAACCTAAGACTTTACCCTTAAGAGTTCACAGAATTTACCAACTTAGCTATCGTTTGGCATGTAGTGATTCAATTCCATTCTGAGATACACTAGGCTTGTAATAGAGATGTATAGTGGGGCTATAGTTATTAATCATGTTGTGTGCAACATGGGGACAATTTTACAATAATTTCATCAAGTTGGAAACTATAGACATCAATAGAAGTGACACACGGATTATGACATCATTCTGTTGTACACGCATAGAAGATTATGTGCTATTATGTGTCTATTATATCTATATTCTATGATGCAAAACTACAATGGTGGAGGTGTAGTACATGATTGAATATGGATCCATGTGTCCAAAGGGGTTAATCAATGATATTTGTTCATTTCAGATATACTGAAATATCATGGCACCTGTCAATCCAGTTGCGAACATTTTTTTCAAAATAAATCTAGAAGTTGGCTAGAAGGAAGAGTACTCTCGTGTCAATCTACTGACATTCTTTGTTGTGCGTGCTGATGACGGAAAACGACTCTGGCATGATCCCTTTGCTAAGCAGATAGCTAACCCATGTCCACACCTGGAATGCTCCTCAAGTCACCAACTGATTGGTTGGGTGAACGATCGCCACACAGAACAATCCGTCATTGGAAAAATCATGATACCTCCGACATTACACCCCCATCCTTGGGAACCCTGAGCCGCTCAATAATGCTCCAAAGCTAAGGGGTGGCCTTCGGCAAACCCACCTTCCACAACATACGCCATGTCATGCCATGTCCTTACACGGTGGCCCTCGCCCCTTTTTTTCATCAGATTATAACCCTCATCAACCAGTTCGTCTTGAAGCAGTTCGTTCTGCTTCGTGGAATATCTACCATCAACATCGATCAACATCGATCAACCGTGAACTTCGCCATTTTCCCTCTGGTAAACAGCCACATAACTATCAAAAATCACCATATTTCCATATTTTTCATGGGAAAATCCACTATTTCGACTGGGCCATGTTCAATAGCTATGTGGCTATGGATCAATACCTATAGATACAGTTTATTAATGTTTATTAGGGGATGAACATCCATTTGCCACCTATTTTGATGTTCACCAGGGCTACATGGTTTTGACCCATTCCCACGTTAGTCTACCAGAGGGTACCCTCTTCACCGCTGTTTCTTCCGGGCTCCACCCGGGCTCCAAGCGACCACTCCGGCAGCGGCACGGCATAGATCCGGCCCAGCAGGGCGCCCAGGACGATGCACGGCGCCAGGACCCCACCTGGGATCTCCGCGCTCAGGGACCACAGGGACATGGTCCTGGCCAACCATGCCACAGAATGGGTTAGTAGTGGTTAATGTCTAGTAATGGGCTATTAATATCTATTAATCCCATTGGATATTTGGATTGGAATGGCATTTTAGATATTTTTTGATGGATATTCTATTACAGATAGGATTTATATTCATGACTTTATAAATGGAATAGACATGGGATATAAATAGAAATGGGATAGAAATGGGATACCCATATGCAACCCATGGTGCTGGTATATTTACCTACATGACTGGGTCATTTATAGGGTAAATGATGTTAAATGTTCGTAAATTTTCCATACATGGAGCACATGGGATATAACATGGGATATCAATGGGATATATTTAGGATATTCTGGACAATAAATGGAATAGACATGGGAATTTTTTATATATAGAAAAACATGGGATATAAATGGGATTATTATAATATATATATATATGTGTATATATATATATGTACATAATATATATATATATGTACATATATATATATACCTGTATATATATATATATGTGTATGTATATATAAAACATTATAAAACAAACACTATGAGATTTGGGGTGTGTCTGACAATGGGAGATCCGCAAAAAATGGCCATGACAATTAGGGGAAATGATGATGAACATCACCCTAGGATGGATTGCGGATGATCGCCTATTTGAAGAGACAACACCTGGTTGGTGGTTTCAACATGTTTCAACCTACCCCTCTGAAAAATGATGGACTTAAAGTCAGTTGGGATGATTATATATTCCCAATATGAATGGAAAGTCATAATCCAGTCATGTTCCAGTCACCACCAACCAGCTGAAAATTCAACTCGCAACTGATACTTTGATGGTCGATTTTGTTCATTTTGTTTCCTGAGAGTCTAACGTGTCATATCTCGCCCAAATCAGCCCATGGGACCCTCCAATCCCACAGTATTAAGAAAGACAGTTCTCCAGCAAAAATTGGTGTGGCAAGCAAGTCTCCAGCAATGGAGACATTTCAGTTGTCACACTGACAAGAATAGATACTATGCTTCATCATAACCAAAAGGCTACCATCAGCTACTCCAGCCAAATGATGCCATGCCCTGGTTTCATAAGGGTCAACAGTACTCGACTGGTTTCACTGGGTCGAGACAAGACTCCACTTGGCCATGAAGCACAGGAGCAGCGTGCCCAAAAGCCCAAACTTCGGGAGAATCCAGGTGTTATCTTCCAAGAGATTCTTGTCCTCAGCGATGTCGCTGCCGAATTCAGCGATGTCGCTGCACGGCTCAAACGACAAGGCAGGGCTCAAAAAACAACCTGCAACCAGTTCTTCTGCACAGGTAAGAGGCTTGCTCCCAATATCCCGGATACAAACTGAGTAAATGAGGAGGAAAACCAACAACTACAACGTGTCCCCTGCTATGCACCATTGGAGCACCCCTTGGAGCACCATTGGAGAACCCCGTCATGGGCCTCATTCCGGCAGCCAAGGATCAAAGATCTTTGAGACCAACAAGGGCTGCGGCAAACCCCCCAGCAAGGGCAGACTGGATGCCAGCAATGTATTGGTCAGTGCCAGTAGCGCCTGATGACGTCACCCAGCTCTGCAAAAAACACTCGACATGATGAGTCAAAACTACAGGGCAATTCACCATCCAATTCATTCCCCTAAAAATCAGCAATTTTGACCATCCAATGTACCCTCTAATCTAGCATCAGGCACATCACCCAATAGGGATGCGGATGTAGAACACGTGTTTTCAACCAGCAACCAGCAGGGATAGATGCCAACAAACATGTATTAATTCAAAGATCATTTATACAGTAAATAGATCTAAGGCTAAAAAATCTATCTAAGTTGGCTCCTTAGTTCGCATCATGGGGCATTGGAATTGGAGAAGAGACACAGATTGCAAAGGGGTGGGCAATCTAAGAATCTAAGCTGCTGTAGCAAAGAATGCCTCTTCTATGAGGATCTGGTTAAGGGAGCACAGCTGGGTGCTTTGGTAGACACAATACAATATGAAAACACAACAAACCACCGTATACATTGATAAGCATCTACATGAAATATCATTATATAAATATCATGAACATTCATGAGCTACATCATAGATATATTGACTATACAGTAACCCAACAAAAGATAGAAAAAAAAAACAATCGACTAAAAGTGCCTAGTGACCTAGTGGTAAATATTCATAACCGTTCGATCTTTCTTTTTGGTTTGCGAGACAAGTTTTTATGTCTTCATGAAATCATATGGAATCCCAATTATTCTCAGTTAGTTCTGGAAAAATCACATGAAATCTCCATTTTTTCGAATCAAATCAGATGAATTCTCCATTTTCTCTCCATTCTCCTCAGTGAAGCCATGAACGCCCCATGTCTTCCAGGCCAAGGCGCTACCAGCAGCAGATCCCTTCCGCCTGCACCGTGGAAACTCGGAAGGCGCAGGAGTCGGCGACGCAGCAAGGGCTCCTGGCTTTTTATGAGAATTACGATTATCACAATAATATCATATATATATATGTATGTATATAATGTAATGTAATGTAATGTTATGTTATGTATGTATATATATATATATATATGATGTATATATATATATGTAATGATAATAAAATCTACTATCTCATCACCAAATATCATAGACATCACAGACTATCACTATTATGAATGATGATTGATGATGTAGTGATAATGGTTGACCCTAGGTATTGATGAAGCAACACGGACCCTATAGATTGATGACCATGCTTCGAGGTGCATGAAGCATCTATTGTGGCTGGTTGGTGGTTGGTATACCTACCCCTCTGAAAAATGATGGACTTCGTCAGCTGGGATGATTATATATTCCCAATATGATGGGAAAGTCATAATCCATTCATGTTCCAGTCACCACCAAGAATCAATGGGGCCCATACTACTGGCGCTGGCTGGACATGTTTCCTCAGACGCTGAGAACAAACGGCTACATCATCCAACACTTTTTTTTGTGTCAGCTCAATGTCTGCCATTGCTGAAACCATGGGTCCTAAAATTTGCCTGCCCGAACACGAAAAAAAAACATTTTTCGATGAATGATGTTTTTGTCTTTGAAGTTGCTTGAAACAGATTGTTTCTGAAATGAACATGTATGAATGCATGTATAATATACATCTACATTATATCAAAATATAGTATAGTATACTACTACATATCTCTCTGGCTACCTTTACCCAGTGAAACATATGCTCTGCCTTTTTTGTTGGCCCCGTTCTCCCGGTGCAGATCCGTTGCACGTTGCATCACGTTACTGCACACCTGAGCACTCTTCAAGCGTGGTATTCTCGTAGAGTTGCTCCATCTTCTCAAGATTCTCCTGACCAAAATGCAGCGATGGAGATGGAATTTGTCCCCATGCCATGGGTTTCTCCATCCAAGTTGGTTATATGTGTAGAGAAATCTGGCTAATATCCAACATCCCCATCTGGCGATTCTTCATGTAAAATACCAAGGTTTTCCCCAATTCATGTGTGGTTCAGAAACGTTGCCTCGGACGCCTCGGTTGGGACCATGCTTGCGACTTGGTTCCGTGCAGTTCCAGTTCCAGTTATTAGATCATCTGAATAGATTTCACTGCTGTTTTTTTTTGGGGGTTACCCTCTGGTAAACTAACAGAAAACTATTGAAAATCACCATGTTTAATGGGAAAATCCACTATTTCAATGGCAATTTTCAATAGCTATTTTGACATAACCAGAGGGTATAAGATGTTGTAATGGAAAACCCCAAGTTATGAGGGTTGACCACCATGGTGTTTACCAATTTCTAACCTTAAAACCTGCACCCAAGTTTTGATTCAAAACCTGCTATGTACCCCTGTAGTTCACATCAAAATAGCTGGTATTTATGGATGTTCATTCCCCTAAAAATGGTATTAATAGGTATTGATCCATACCCATCTATCTTCAGGGTAGCATGGCCTGCCCAAGTGGTGGCGAGTGGCACCGTGACGGCATGGCTTCGGACAAAGAGACCACCCGCGAGTCCACAGAAGATGCCCAGCAAAATAAAGGTGAGCAATTCCTGGGAACTGAAGGTCGGTTACCCTCTAGTAATTTGTTACATAGCTATTGAAAATGGCCCATTTATAGTTGATTTACCTATTAAAAATGGTGATTTTCCAGTTACTGTTCGCTATGTTAGTTTACCAGAGGGTAGATGGGATACAGGAACACAATGGAACACTGATTTAATAGGGACATTATATGGGGATATCATGTCTATAGTGATAAATAATGGGTGTGGATTAGCCTCTGGAAATGGGATGTAGCCTCTGGTACTTGAACATAGCGATTCTACATGGCCATGAACAGTGGTTCTTGAATGTTCTTGAACAAGATGGGGATTTTTCCACAGCTATGTTGGTTTACCAAAGGTTAGTGATGAAGTGAGCTACCCTCCGCTTTTGGGGATGTCTCATGATATTTCATGGGATTTTCATGGATTTACCCTCTGGGAAGTTGTGTAGCGAACTGGAACATCATAATTCTGAAAAAAACACAATTTTTGAGAACGGCAAATTGTGAATTTATTGGAGGACTGGCTTAGGCCATTCTATCTGGCCACAATCACCTGTTGTTTTTTAAATATGTTCATCATCGAACTAAATGGCCAGGGCTTAGCTATGTCAGGTAACCAGAAGCTGCCAGGCGGGAAGAGGAATAACAGGGATGCTCCCAACACCCCAGGTAGCTTTGGGGGTCAATTGGGCACATATGTTTCGGTCAAAAATCATCAAGTTACTTTCCAAAAGCGGCTATCATTTATGGCTTGGAGAAAGCTTGAATCATATGAAATACCCTCTGGTTATGTCAAAATAGCTATTGAAAATGGCCATAGACATGGTTGATTTTCCATAGTTATGTGGCTGTTTACCAGGCCGGGTAGTCCATATTTCACAAGTGACACGTATCGCGTGGTAAAAAACACGTGCTTCACAAGGCGATACCAAGGAACCGGGTTCGGTTGGTTTTTTTGGGGGACTATCCCAGCTGCACCTTAGGGGATGGCGCTATAGCTGTTATAGTTTTGTTGGATATATGATATATCCCATATGCTCCATGTATAGTATATTTACCTACATGACTGGGTCATAAAATTGGGGTAAATGTTGGTAAATATTCCAGCACCATGGAGCATATGGGTATGATATATGTAGTATATCAAATGGTACATCTACGAGTAGCTACCTCATTGCATATCAGCATACCTTTTCATGTTAAACAATGTTATACATGGAATCTAGTGAAAAACGGAAGCCAGAACGGATTCTTGTCAATAGCAGTGACTGTGTTTCAATCTCTGGGTCTGGGAGTGCTGCGCCGATTCTTGTCGGCTGGGTTAGTCTAGGTCTCAGTAAATACGCTTCACTTCACCCTGAGCTGCCAAACATATTTGTATAGTAGACCCTCTGGTAATTTGTTACATAGCTACTGAAAATGACCATTTATAATTAGTGGATTTACCCATTGAAAATGGTGATGTTCCATAGTTATGTTAGTTTACCAGAGGGTAGATTTGTAGTTGTATCTTAAGTGATATATCTTGATATTCCCAGCTTTGGAAGTATCCCCTTTTCACTGGTTGTGTCCCAATATTTTTGGTGGCTTAGGACGCTTCAAAATAAAAACACTGTGACATCGTCTGTCCACTCTGACAGATCGACCCGGAACGCAATGCAGCTGAGGCTCTAAAACAGGGAATTCAGTCGAATCACCTGGCATGTTGAAACGATTTGGCTGCTTCTGCAACAAAAGTCTGGTAACATGTTTGAATAAACATGCCAAAGATGCCTTATATAAAGTAAGCAATCAATTACAATTGGCGATGCTGACACCTGCTTTTTTAACGCAACTCACTGGGTTGGGTTACGGACAACATACCGAAAACTAGCTTTTCTTCCAATCGTGGTGTTTCCTGCAGATGTTCTGAATTGGAATCAATTTTGAGACCAATCTTATGCTCTTCGTTATCTTCGCTGGTGTTTCACCACGTCCCTACAAAACAAAAACGTGACGACAGGACTCACTGGATGTTGCTTGGCTCATCGTCACATCGGGATGGATCCTAGAGGAAAATCAAAACAGAAAACCATGGCCGTATTACACATGTGTCTGTCCCATTTTCTACCCTTACCTTAATGATTATATTGATTATTAATGATTCAACCGCAAATTCTCCCATCACCACTCTGACATTCCCCATGCCTTCTCCAGGCAAGACATTGGAACTCACTAGAGGCAGAAACCGGCGCACGTGGCCAAAAGGATTGCTCTTCAGCAGTAAGTAGGTTATAGCTCCCACCACGCTGGCACAGAAGCACCCCCAGTAGGCCACCACGTCGTAGCTTTGCGGCAACCTCGATCACCAAGTTCTGGGGACGACGTGCCGCTGTTGCCCCAGTTTTTGGGACTGTTAAGCTCCAGCGTAGCTGCGAACTAGAACTAATATGAAGCTTACCTCAGGTTTGGGTAGATGTATTTATACTGGTTGGTGGTATACCTACCCCTCTGAAAAATATTAGTCAGTTGGGATGATTAATTTATTCCCAATATATGGAAAAAAATGTTCCAAACCACCAACCAGTATAGTATAGTATTGCAATAAAGGATTCGTTTCAAGGAATTTATAAACCAAACTTGGGGGCACCAGGTTTGGCGAGGTTCTGGTCCCAAAAAAATGCCATATCATATCCAAAGCTCCTGGGTTGGGGTAAAGGTGCAGCCATTTCTCACCAGGCATCTTCGTCCATCCGCACCATTATACCCACAGCCATATTGGTGATACCATATATATCCATGGTTATACATGGTTATATCCATAGTTATACCATGTTATATACTTACTCATGGTTATAACCATATTATACCCATAGTTATCACCTCAACACAACCATAGCCATACCCATCTCCCTTTCCAAAAACTGGTTGGTGGTTTGAACCCCTCTGAAAAATATGAGTTCGTCAGTTGGGATGATGACATTCCCAACTGAATGGAAAGTCATAAAATTCCCTGGTTCCAAACCACCAACCAGTATATGTATATGTATCCCCATATGGTATGGTATGCTATGGGTAAACATACAAAAAAACGATGGAAAATCACACCCTTTTCCAGAAAAACCTCTCACCGCGGCACATCAGTTCCAGTGCAAAGAGGACGCCCCCGATGGGGGCTTCGAAGGTACAGCCGAAGCCCATGGCACAGGCCCCCAGGAGCAGCTTAGAGCACACGGCGCCCAGGTCCGTGGAACCTACCGTTGTTTCAACGGGGCGTTTTTTGAACGGGGACATGGTTGGGAAAATGAAAGGGGAAACTCCGCAAAATCCAGGGAAACCATGGGAAAACGCGAAACGGAAAATCTCGAAAACAGGATGACTTTGGGCAAAAGACATGTTGAGAAAATGATTTGGTTGGACCATATGGTCGTTTTAGAATCTTATGGGGAACTTGAAGGTGGAACATTGATCAAGGAGAAGTGAGAGTTGTGCCATTTATAGTGAATTTTCCCATTAAAAATGGTGATTTTCCGTAGTTATGTTAGTTTACCAGTGGTTTTAGATGTTTTTTTTGCAAAGACCATTGCGATAGAAACTACCAAAAAACCCAGTGAAACGGGACTCCAACCGACTCGAACAAAACTGGGGAGATAGGCTAAGACGAAAATGGAGTTCAACTGGTAAGACAAGTTGACAGCACCAAATGTCGGCCAAAACTGGGCCATCTTCATAAAGACATCGCTCCGCTGTTCCTATACCCGGCCTGGTTTTAACATACCAAAAACGATGGAAAATCACGATTTTCAATTGGTAAATCCACTATAAATGTGCCATTTTCAATAGCTATGTAACAAATTACCAGAGGGTAGGTTTTATGCTCCAACAGCATACTGCTGAAAAACCGTTACAAGTGCTGCGCCTGCCCCATGAGGGCCGCCGGTGACGTACTTGTCGAAGAAGCCAGGGTTCAGCAGTCGCACTACACCTCCAGGAAGATCAGGAGGAGGATTCCGATAAACCCAAGAATATACCATGAGGTGTTTGTAAAAAGTTAAATTTTAGCGTATCCTACTCGCTTCAGAAGATTCTTCTGTCATAATCATAGTATTATCTATGTTTAATTAATATCATATATAGAATGTACAGTAATATACTTCTATACATGGTATATATGTTCTATATTTAATATTATCATGGTATTATCTACAGTAATGTAAATGTACAGTAAATAGTGTCTGTGTAAACATCATGGGGCCCCAACAGCTGGCGGAGCTGGCACCCCCACATCAAGATTATGCCACACAGCTGGCGGATCAAATCCAGCAACCATTCACCAAGCCATGGCTAAGGCTCATAATAGACATCATCCGAAATAACTCACCTGGTTGGTGGTATACCATGGTATACCTACCCCTCTGAAAAATATGAGTTCGTCAGTTGGCATGATGACATTCCCAACTGAATGGAAAGTCATTCAAAATTCCATGGTTCCAGTCACCACCAACCAGTATAGTATTGCCATACAATGGTGGATCTTTCCATAGTTTTTTGTATGTTTACCAGAGGGTAACTAGAGGTTTTTTCTAGATTCTAGAGCTTTAATCCGCAGAAAAAAACATAAAAAAACCAGCTGGTCATCCATGGATGGATCTTCCCCAGATTCCCCTGGCGCTCCCCCGCTTCCCAGCTGCACATGCCGAGATGTGCACATTTGGCCCATCTTTACCCATCGGCAAGCCGGCCGCAATGCCCAAAGTCATCGACAGCAGTTTCACCACCAGGACCTCGCGCGGAACCGGGGCACCCGGTGAATCTGTGTCAAAAATGTGGGTTAACCTCTGGTAAACATACAAAAAACATACATTTGTTTCAAAAAACGATGGGAAATCACCATTTGTCATGGGTAAATCAACTATAAATAGCCATTTTCAATAGCTATGTTAGTTTACCAAAGGGTAACATATCTAAAAATGGAAATCATCAGTTGTATGCCAATTTGATGTGTGCTCACTGGTCACATTGCCAAACATTGGGCTGTAACAAATGCCAAGAAGGTTAGCTTATAATAACTATGCCAGAAAGGAGCGCTGTGAGCCCGTGTGTTTTTCTGGGTGTTTGTGAGCTAGATATATTCCTAACAAATATTGTAACATGCAGAGCCTCTGGTAAACAAACGTAGCCCAGGTATAACGGGCTTACCCATCAAAATAATGGTTTTCCAATATTTTCCATAGCTATGTTAGTTTACCATAGGCTATTTTAGTGATATGATAGTGATCATTTATGATTTTCGTGATAATAAGTATAATGGAGGGTAAAAGGTTTTCAAATGTTTAGTCGTCAACGAAAGCCAGGTAACCCGGAGGCTCAGATAGTTCAGGATGACTTTGCCAAAAAGCATTGCCTGAAAGGCAGCGATCAGGATGAGCAAAGTCGGGCAGAAATTTGGGCAGAGAAGTTGGTAGATTAACCATCAAAAAAATTGACATAGCTATTGAAAATTGTGATTTATAGTGGATTTACTCATTGAACATGGTGATTTTCCATAGTTATGTTAGTTTACCAGAGGGGATAATATGGAGGTTTCCTGAACTAGGGATACCGCCGGGATACCCCCAGTTCTCATCCATTTCATGTTCGGATTTTCCATGAAATAAACCATCCAGCTATCCCATAGGATCCATGGTGCTGCTATATATGGTAACATTTACCATCAAAAATGCTAGAGGTTCAACCATCAAACATTCTGGTGTTAACCATCTAATCCGAATCCCCCCACTAGTCGGTGATGGCGCCACTTATAGTTGATCTACCTATTAGCTTAGCAGCTCCAGCACGCAGCACGCGCAACGCTGAGTGCTAGCACGCAGGTTCGTCACGCAGTGGGTTTTTAGCATTGTGATATATGTAAATGCATTTAACTAGATCCGAAAAAAGCATCCATACACAAATTTTAGACCTTAAAGGGCTAGTAAATCGCAAGTTCGAAACGCATGGGTTTTTATTATCCTATTCGATCGGTGCATTTACTTTTCTGTGACTAAAGCATCCGGTAACGTGCGAATATCTGCCTGACGTCCGGATGCATTTTGCGCTTCCCAAAAAAGCATCTGGGGTTTCCCCGTTTCCTCCAAAAGGGTAATTTCTTTCAGGGTGTTGAAAAAATCAACGCCACTTGGAGGTACTCGTGCGGCTCTCATGAATGTGATGAGTATCTCAGGATATCTCATGCTTATCATCACTCCAATGCATTTTTCCTATTCCAATAAAAGCATCCACTATCTGAATCAAGATAAACATATCTACTAGGATGCACACCGGGAAACTGCATTGGAGTGAGTGCTGAGCACGCGAGTGCTGGCACGCGAGTGCTGAGTGCCAGCACGCGAGTGAAGAAACAGCTAAGCCTATTAGAGATGGTAATTATCCATCCCATTCAGTGGATTATAATCCCATGAAACATTCCATGAAATCCCATTGAAATCCCATTAAACCCCATTAAATGTATATAATCCATATGAAAACATGGCTTTACTGGGATTTCAATGGGATTATATATTATCATATGATGGGATTATACATATGTCCATATGAAATGGGGTTTAATGGGATTTCAATGGGATTTCAATGGGATTTAATGGGATTCAATGACTTAATCCATATTGCACCCCCAAAACAACGGCACCCAAGTCATGTCATGAGATCCAATACTTTCAGGCTGCGGTACTTGTGACATCCGGCATGGCAAATCCCCGAACCAGCCATGGAGCTTATCAGCCGGGAAAAGTACCTGTTAATATTTCAGAATAGACATATATACATATAATTATATATATACATAGGTTCCAGCCATGGAGCTGATTACTCTGGGTATTCACATTATTTCTCATTCACATCCCCATTTCTCTTGATCAAATCCCAATTATTCGCTATAACTCCCCATTGATTCACATAGAACCATTGGTTGGTTATCCATCACCAACAATAATAGCTGAACGATGCTGAACGTGATGTTCAAAAACTCCAAAGCTGCACATTTCCCAATCCCTTGAGTTATGGAAAATTCCATGGAACAATCACCAGTTATCCATGTTGTTCCATGGATTATACATGACTATTCCCATTCACATCAGTTTCACTCATTTTTCTTGCTGTCAAATCCCCAGAAAACCATGGTTTCACCATCAAATCCCAAGAAATTCATGGCTTCACCAGAAAAAATCCCAAGAATTCCCAGGCTTAGATTTCTTATGGTTTCATAGAAAACACCATGGAAAACACCATCAAAATCCATGGTTTCACAGTGTTTTCCATGGCTCAGCACTGCCTTCATCTCGGGGAAGCCGCTGCCCTCCGCTTCCACCGTGCTGGCCGCCACCAAGCGCGCCAACAGGGCCAGGCAGACGTTGAAACACACCACGCAGAGCAACAGATGGGGCGCACCCAGGGTGAAAGACCTGGAAGGCCAACTATGGCCCCCTGAAACTCTGTAGGGAAAATAATTACCCTCCAGTAAACTAACATAGGGGTTGGAAGATTAGTTTCCATTAAAAATTGTTTATTTTCAGGGTCTATGTTTATTTAGCAGAGGGTACCATCTGGTTATGACTAACATAGCCATAGAAAATCACCATTTTTAAGTTCGGTAAACCATCTATTTCTATGGGCCATGGCTTCCATGGCTATGTTAAATAACCAAAGGGCAGATGGGAAAATGAGGAAAATTGAGCTATCTTGCTCCAAAACAGCCATAGGTATAGGTAAATTGAGTAAAATGACACATTGAAGGAAACCTATGGCTGTAAAAAAAAAAACAGCTTCTGAAACTGTAGGGAAGGGTTGGGTTTTTGGGATCCCAACACCTAAGATGGTGTTTGGAGCACTAGGGGAACATGCAGGATGGTTTTTCTAGCGGTTTTATGCAACAACATATATCAGGGAACCAGGTTTGCCAAATGGAAAATAATCTAATGATCCATGCTATATGTAGTATATAATATATAATATACATAATATACATAATATATAATATACATAATTAATATAACAAAAATATTTTTATATACAATACACTATGTAATACATAATATTAATATACATTACAATACAATATATATTATATAATATAAAATATATTATATATAATAAACAATAAATAACATAATATGTATATATATATCTACATATATTATAATAAACAATGTATAATATTATATATATATTATAACAAACAATATATAATATAATATTAGATATATAAAATACACAAAAAAATATATAATGTATAATGTATAATATTTACTATTCAATATATAACATATAATAACATATAACAGATAACATATGATACAATATAATAACATATATGTCATATATAAGAATAACAGCAACACTACATTAAGTATACACTTTACACTCCGGACTCCACCGTCTACATAATGCTACCGACAACAGGATCTCCGGTCTCCACCCTCAAACGGGTCTGCAAGGTCGTCCATTGGTAGATTGGAAGGCTGCATGGAGTTGTCTTTCCATTGAACTTTGGTGGACCATCCAAGAACAAAGTACATACATTATGGGTCCATGTATGGTATATTTACCTACATGACTGGGTGATTTTGGACAAGGGCAAATGTTGGGATTCATATACCAGCACCATGGTTCGCATATGGGTATGATGAATGATATGCTATGTCATTATGTGGTTTTGCCATGTTTTTTCAACTAAATCCTGGATGATGTTGCGATAATGTTATTGTAAATATACCATATACCATAGCACCATGGTTCGCATATGGGATAATGTATGTACCCATAGTTATAATATGGTACATGAATACCATCCATATGTACTTTGTTCTTGGATGGTCCACCAAAGTTCAATGGAAAGACAACTCCATGCAGCCTTGAACCAGCGAAGAAAAGTTGGGGGGGCACCACCCCTAAAGACTGCAATGGTCACCACGAAAACCTCCATGGATGTGCATCTCGGGAATCGTAACTGCTATTATAACATGTTAAAACCTATAATAGCCCATATGTAAATATATATATATATTATAAATTATATATATATGATATATGATACATATATATAATATATATATATATATTGTAAATCATATACATATGATATATATATATATATATGCCATGAATCTAAGTGGCTTCTGCGCAGGGTCAGCACTCACGATTCCTGTTGATGCACATTCAAGTCCGTTATAGAACCCCTACATCCAAGTATGTGTTCCTATTAGAAAATCAAACCCCTATTAAAACAGATTAAACCTGCCTGAAAATTCACAGTGATACCCAGATTCTGCCGTATCTTTCCCACCTTTTCCACCTTTTCTCACCGAGGAACGAACGCAGTAGGCCCACTTCGAAGGTCAAATGATCCACCAAATACGACAAGGCACTGGAGAGCAGCGCAGCCAAGATCCTGGTGGTCGCTGTGGTCGCTCCACAGCGCTGTGCTACCAGGACACCCATATATTTTGCAACGCCATGATGCTGGAACATCACCATATATATCCCAAACATATATATATATATATATATGAAAATCACCATATTCATATATATACCATATGATATATATATATAATTATATATATATATAATTATATATATATATGTTGGTGAATCCCAACATTTGCCCTTGATCACCCAGCCAGGGCTGTAGGTTTTTATATACCAGCACCATGGGTTGATGGGTTTTGTTGCCATGGAAAAAAGGCCAAAAGTGATCAGAAATGGACTCAAATGACTCTTCATAGTGGAAGAAAACTGCTATTGAAATGCTCAGTGTGGACAAAAAGCATGGAACAACCTCTTGAAATTGTGAATTATCAATATATGGAGGTTTCCGAAGTCATGGGGGTACCCCTAAATCATCCATTTAAATCGGATGTTCTATTATAAGCATGGTAGGTTGTTCCCATTTAGAACCCTCATATCATCCAAATCACTTCTGGTTGGTGGTTTCAACCCCTCTGAAAAATGATGGAGTTCGTCAGTTGGGATGATGACATTCCCAATATATGGAAAGTCATAAAAGCCATGTTCCAAACCGCCAACCAGCTATATATGTTCACCATTTTTAATTATGTAAATCAACTATTTCTATGGCCATTTTCAATAGCAATGTCAGTAAAAAATAGACCATGTAGCATGTACCAATCTATTCATATCACTATTAACCAGATATATCACCATTAATATCACCATTGATAATCATTACCCTCTGGTAAATTAACATAGACCCTGGCAGATAGGGGTTGGAAGACTAGTTTCCTCTAAAAATTGGTGATTTTCAGGGTCTATGTTTATTTACCAGAGGGTATTAACCACTATTAACCACCATTAACCATAACTCATCGCCAAGGAACAGCACAATCCAAAAGCGTCGCAAGATGTGCGCGGGCCGCGCCGGTTTTTGTTCATCATCACCGGGCGCCGTGGTCTCGTCGATCCCTGCACGCTTGGTCCAGGGGGTGATTGGTTGTTCATTTGAACGGAAATGCCCAGCTGTGAACGGAATGGCTAAGTTGATTTATAAGTCCAATATATATATATATATATGTATGTATGTATGTATGCATGCATGCATGTAATGTATATATATATATTATGCATAATAATTCTTGGGTTTATGCTAGATATATCATGACACGTATATATATATATATTCCTAATTATTGATATAATATGAATCGATAAGCCTGCACCACCCTGTCTGAGTTGCAACCTCATCATCTTTTCTTTGGCGGTGATATCTATGGTTTACCCCCGACACGACACGAAAGTAGTTCCAGGATATACACAACATGCTTTGTCCATGATTTCTGGGTTACTCTTCGGCATCTTTGTTGGGCTTGCTATTGTATATAATAATTGTATACTTAGTATAAACATCTACAAATAGATATCTGTATCTGTCCCCGTGGGAAAAAAGGGCCCTGGGTTGACATTCAGCACTCTTCTCTTCAATAGGGTACTGAACTTACTGAAAGATATTGAATAGGGCATTGAACGACTGCTATGTGACGACATTAAGAGCGACGGTCAAAACCAAAACTTTCTTTGTAGGATACGATGTTCTGAATTTTGTCTGGGCACAAATGCCATTTAAGCCATAGAAATAACAATTCAATTCAAACTTCCATGCATCTTCCATAACAATAATCTAGTTACAGAGATATATAGACACGCCATATCCGCTAAATTAATGGATTGCAAGAGGCCTGAACAACAACAAATGAAAACACTCCCCCCATGCCATTTTGAAAGCCCGCTCCTGGATAGATACAACATGATACAACTACTATATAATAGTCTGTCAAATCTTTTTGGTCTATTCCCCAAAGATGTCTGGTAAGAACAACCATGATCAACCACGAAATCATCATACAATCTCCAGCCTGGCTCGAGAGAATGAGCACGGCCCACACGGGGCCGCGTCTCGCGTGGTTTTGTCGTTTCTTTTGAGACTAAATTGTGAAACTGCCGGGAAGAATCGGGAAAATGTGCAAGTCAAGCCCGGCCACGACGGTGTACAATTGAGATCCAAATGGATTCCCATCATTGGGGCAACCAGGTACATAACCAGCCATTAACAGTAACAAATCTGTTGCTATGACAAAAGAAAATATCAACTCACCTACATGACTACATGATCACCAGCCAAATGGAGAATGTATAGTCGCAGCTTGACCCTTTGTGATAACCTCAAACCATTGAGCCAAGTGTGACCTAATTATGTAGCTCGACCACGATTGCCAGCAGCAAAAAAAGAGCCAGCCTGCGATAGCATTGTGGTTTCACAGAATTGTATTGAGGGAAACAAGTTAAGCAGAACCCCCTGCAGTCCTATGTATATATATATATACATGCACACATACTGTATATCCACCGGTCTTTTTGTTGGTCATAACCTATAGTATTGCCAATAACAATTCCCCAATGGTACTTGGCTAAGGAATGTCTTAGGTAAGATGTATAGTTCCTGGAACCCGTGTGATCCTCATAAAGCTTTGACAAGCAAACATCCCAATGGAGGGTTAACCAACCAAAATAGAGCTCAGTTGGTTCCCGAATAGATCAGTGATGATAAGTGTCCATAGCTATACTAGACATTACTAGACTATCCATCCAAGGCATTCCTTTTGGCCTCCTAACTTCTGTTGAGTTGATACAACTTGGTGCCTCCAGGTCCAAGTTATGTTTGTTGGTTTATAACCCCATCCAAATACAGTATACTATACTGGTTGGTGGTTTCAACCCCTCTGAAAAATATGAAAGTCAGATTGGATCATCATCCCAACTATGGGGGAAAATAAAATTCATGTTCCAAACCACCAACCAGACCATAGTTCGATCTAATAAACTCATGAAACCAAGTAGATTCGTCACCCTGAGCCCAGGGGCCGCTTTGGAAAGCTGGGCGAATCCGCCTCTGCAACAGGCGTGGCTTGGGAGACATGTTTTGCGAGATCGATGGGGATACCATGGGGATATGCTGGGAAGTTCTGGCTCATAGATGGATACGTCTGAATACATCTTGACTTTTCTTTAGTTTACCCTCTGGTAAACTAACATAACTATGGAAAATCACCATTTTTAATGGGTAAATCCACTATATAAATGGCCTTTTTCAATAGCTATGTTTGTTTACCAGAGGGCAAGAGTAGCAAGAACCGGGATATGGAGACATCCTCCTCTTCCAAACTAGGACCCGTGACCTGTGGCAATCTGCCATGTTTTTTAAACCAATGCCACAAACCATCCCAACAGCAAAGCAGCAATCGAGGTCATTTTACATCATCCTCAAAAGACAGGGTATGGCCACTATCATGACCTCATTTTTGCAGTGGTTACAGTATGGTTTTTATTGGCTTTACCTCACTACTCCATTTTTCTACCTGAAATTGAAGTAGCAAAGGATCCTGTGAGCCTTTCAATGAATTGTCCAACAAGTCCTAGGTCCTAGGCACATCTCACGTGCAAAACAATCTCCGTTTTCGCTTTGTGGCTACATTAAGTGAAAAATCAGCCCTCTGCTGTTCACGCCAAATCAGCACCGGGGTGACCATCACCCAAAATATCAAATGTTTTTGGATGATGTATTACCCTCTGGTAAACAGCCACAAAAAACTATGGAAAGATCCACCATGTTGAATGGGTAAATCAACTATTTCTATGGTCATTTTCAATAGCAAACAGTAACAAACTACCAGAGGGTAAACAAGCTGGGAGTTATAAGTTATCGTCATCGTGGTGACCTGATCTTACTCCATGGATACCCATTAATATGGTAAGCATCATATGGTACCCCTGTGAGTTATATGAACTGTTCATATCAAATGCTGGTTGGTGGTTTCAACCCCTCTGAAAAATATGAAAGTCAGTTGGGAAGGATTACTCCCAATATATAGAAAAATAAAAATGTTTGAAGTATGATATATGCTATCTTCACTCCCATGGTTTTACTTGTGTCGTTTTACCATAAAATTGGTTTGTCCATGTCCAAAAAATAGGGGACCCTAAAATCCAAATGGTTTATGATTATGTTCCACCTTAAAATCCGTCATTAAAATCACAACATCCTTTGAATACTCCCGTTCTTTGACTCTCCCATGTGTAAAGTGCTCATTAATCCCATGCCATGGAAATCCCACACCATGGACATATCTTGAATAGGAACATTTGTCACCATCCAATGAGTGAATTCTACGAAATGATGCTTGGTTATATGAATGAATATATGCTTTCTGAAATCCCCGTGAATCTCACTTGAAACTTTATAAACTTATAATATATACTATAATATAAATCTCACTAAAAAACGATGTTTTTCTGTTATTTTGCAAGGGTGTTTTTGTATATAAGTTTTGCTGCTGAAATCCAACTAGCTTCTGGGAATCCTCCAGCATTTCGATGTGAACCGGAGGCTAGAAAAACCACTACTGATATAACATATATAATTGATTCATATTAGTTACTGGTTGATACATCATATATACATCATAAATATAATATATATATATATTGATATATACCATAATAATCAATATCCATATTCAATACTGATATAATATATTCATATTGATTCATATTGATTCATATTCCATATAAATATGCCATTAAATATTCACATTTATACCAGCATTTGTTTTCAAGGTGAACTCTGGCCCGCCCGTTGACCAACGGCCTCCATGGAGTTCAAGATGGCTTCTACGCCTTGGAGCGCGGCGCGTTGCGGAGGGTGAAGAAGATGAAGAAACTCCAATGGGGATACCCACATGGATGATTTGGGGGTACCCCCACACTTTACGCTATGGAGCCAAGTACCTTCTTAGGAAGTGTTTGGGGTATGATTTGGGGGGTTTAGCACCTTCTTAGGAGGTGTTTGGATCCATAGGGTTATATAATTTTATGGGATGATTATGGGAATTAGATAATTCATGTATCTGTATAAGAGCTTGTGGAATTTGTGTTGCGGATAATATTAGACACTTTCCCCTAATTATGGAATGTTATGGATAAGTTTGGATAATTATACAAGGAAAATTAGGGATCGCCGTGGGATACGTGTGAATACTTATGGGATACTATGGAGAATATGAATATGGCACCATTGTGGGATATGACATGCCATTGGAAGGAGTGGGAAAAAACACCGAATCATTTTGATTGCAGACAAGGACGAACAGTTCAAACAAACAATGCAAAGAAATAGGTCGACCACACGATGTTTGGATTCCAGGTTCCCGGAGGTGTAAGATGATGTTTCAGAAAGGTTTCACGCAACAAAAAACAAATGGAACATGAAACTGTAAGATACCCTCTGGTAAACATACAAAAATCTATGGAAAATCGCCATTTTTCATTGCAAAATCCCTCATAAATGGCCATGGCTTCCATAGCTATGTGAAATTACCAGAGGGTATCTCAAAGATTTCAGGTGCTCGTTTCGGTGACGAAGAGTGGGGATCCATGAAGCATCATGAAGCATCCAGCGGAATGCGTGCTATTGGGGTATCCAAAAAAAAACGACGATGGAAAAACCTATCAACGTTGGGTTTATGATAGATATATTTTATGATAAATCTGATGGTATAACATGTTATAACTCCTAATAGTTGGGGCTATATAATCACACATATAATCAACATTAAACCAAAGCTCTTGGTGATTTTCCATTTATGGCACCCCCTTGTTATAACTCACGAAAGTTGGTTCTGTTGAACAAAATCCGTGGTTGGGGTGAAGAGAAAGCAACACAAGTGGGGACACCGAATCTCGCCGTTCCCAGTTTCGGTGTCAAAATCGACACAGTTTTTTTGGGGGGCTTCCATAGTCATGGGGGATCCCCTTACCCTGTGGTAAACTAAGATAACTATGGAAAATCACCATTTTCAATGGGAAAATCCACTATAAATTGTCATTTTCAATAGCTATGTTAAATTACCAGAGGGTAAATAGCTGGTTGCTTTATTTCATGGAAAATCCATGGAAAATCCTATATGGATAATTTGGGGGTACACATGGGTACACCCATGACATTGGAAACCTCCAAATGTTCTGCAAATTTCGGAACACAACCCTCCACTTTTCCTGCAGATACTGAAATCTGGGCCACCCCAGCTGATCAAGGGCCTTGATCGAAGTGCGGAAAAACCATTGGGGGCCCGGTTCCTTCTGGTGGTCATCACGTAGCTCAAACAAAAATCTCCGAACGAGTCATGGAGGCAACGGGATGGCAACATCGAACTGAATGGGGGATTCTCATGATCCAGTAATCCCTACAAGGTGGTGCCCCATAGTTATAAGTTGGTTTATAACCCCATTAACTATAGTTATATCTACCATAAACCATAGTTATTGGAATTATAAACCAACTTAGCTAACTATGGGGCACCACATTGTATGAACCACACATTTTGAAAGAACACAAATCTTTGAACACCGACATGGGCTTTGTCATGACCGCTTTCCTGAAATTAACCCAGACCGCATCGATAGGGTAGGGATGGGGGGGTCTTCAAGGTGGGGGGGGGTCTTTGCCGAACCCTGTGGCCCAGGCCCCCCCGCCCGCTCAAAAAGAAGAAGGGGGGGGGAGTATTTAAGGGGGGGGGGGAATCTTCTTTAGAAGGGGAGGGGGGGATCTTCTTTAGAAGGGGGGAAGGGGGTGAATCTTCTTAGGGGGGAGGGGGGTCCCTTTCT